ACCCAATGATCACAAAGCCTTAATTTTAATATTATTGATTTGCTTCATCATTCTTTTTCATCTCATTGAACCTTTCCCAGATTTAAAAATCATACACTCCCAAATGAGAGTAGTCAGTTTATCATCTCAGGTGGGCTCAGGACCATCATATGGTTTTTCTCAGTCAGCTTCAGGATCAGGACACAGGAATGGTCAAATCTTCTTCTAGGGATTATGGCTCCAGAGTCGTAGCTGAGTACACTGTAGTTCTTTCTGCTGTGTTATTGAGGTCCCCAATCCTCTTCTCTGGAATTTCATTTCACCACATAGTAAACACAAATTTTCTAGGTTCCTTTCAAGTTGTAATCTTAATCAGTTTTTGTAACTACTTTCAACATTTATTGCCTGATTTGGGTCAGTGGACTTTGTACCTCGTCCCAGGTTGTACCTAATTTCCTTTGCCACTTGATTAGATTTAACCAATGTCCTTACTGCCTGAGTGAATTCTGCATGCTTTCCACATTTTTCCCGTATGACTCTCAGCCACATGTCCGGAGTTACTTTACAAGTAAATTGTGCTTCCCCATTAGTTAGCATGAATATGCCAAGTGACAAAAAGCAAAAGAAAGGAATTTACTACTTCTCGTGGCTGGATCTCCCAGGGGTGCTTCTGGTTTTCAGTTTGGCTGGATATGAGCATTCAAGTGATGTCAAAGGCACACTTCCATCCCTCTCAGCTCTGCTTTGCTCTGTGCTAGCTTCCTTCTCAGGCAAGTGAGAATCAAGTAGCCACTGGCAGCTCTAGGCTCTATTGCATTTTTCTTCATTTTTCATTTTTTTGTGTGTGCTTTCCGTCATTCTTCTCAGTGTTTCCTGTGTAGTCACCTAAGTTTGCGGAATGCTCCTTTAGGCAAAGTTACAGTGATCTTTACTGGACTTCACAGCTGATAAAATGTTGATGTATAGTTTACAGTGTCAATCTCCTAGAAGGCAGCAGATCCCACATTCCCTTCTTAGGGCAACATTCTTATCACAGAGTATCTGGTGGAACTGGTTTTCCTCAGAATACATCTGCAAACTCACTGACCTAATCTTGGTGGCTCATGATCATTTGCACCCTGAAATGGGAAAAGGACAACTTAGAACTAAGTGACTTTATGTCAGGATGAACTTACCAGTATCCCAGAGATCCAGAAGCAAAGGAGACATGGCCAGTTTTCCAGCTGCAGAGGCAACTTTGGTTTCTGGCCACAGACAGCTCTGGGGAACATCAAGGCTGCTTTTGCTCATTGTGGCTTTCCCTTGTGTTGCTGCCCTTCATCCTCATCATAAGTGTCCACCCATGGATTAGATCCCTGGCTTTCCCTCTTCTGGGTGGCTCAGTTACAAGGGCTTCCTGTGAACCCAGGGTAAGCCCCCAGTGCTCCAGGCACTGATGTGGGAAGAATCCTGTATATCAAAGACCACATGCCCCTCTGGAATATTATCTTGGTGTTGAAGGCCACAGGGGAGGAATGGTTACAATTTCAAAGCACAAAATCTGGGACTTGGATTCATGAGCATCTGTCACAACTGCTCCTTCGTCCCTGCCAGCCACAGTCCTCTCCTGCCATTCCCCTTTCTCCTTCATCAAATTATGAGACATTTTAGATACATTAAATTCCTAACCCCAAAGAACAAATGCAGGAAAAGACCCGTGCGATTTTCTTTTAATCACTAGAACAAGTTTGAGTCCTTTTCTGTCTGTGACCCCATGCTTTCCCATCAGATCTTCCTGTGGTTACCAGCCTCAAAGAAACAGGCACAGAAGCTGTGAACCTGCACAGGATCAAGTGGGCAGGGAGCTGGGCTTAGAATCCACTGCTGATGGCAAATTTGCACCAGAAACTTGCTCTATCTCACCTCTGCATGTTGAGTTCAGTCAGGAGGTATCTAAGGAGCACGGACTATGTCTCTGGAGATGGAGGGGACGTGACCCACTGAATGAGCTTGACATTGCTGCAGCATTGCCCGTCAATCCTCACGGCCTCAGTTCCTTCATTGTGAAACATCCCTGAGAGTGACTATAAGAGTATGTGTAAATGTTGAATAGTTGCACGTAGCACAGGCCCAGTGAATAGCCTTTGTTGCTACAGAAGGCAGCATGACACAGACTAGAAGGAGCACGTATTTGGCAATTTGACATTTTGCTTTTCAAACCCAGTTCCAACACTGAATGACATTGGTCAGCATACTTATTGTTTCAGTCTCTATTTCTTCATTTGTAAAATGAGCAGGATGATACCTGCTTAGAGGTATGATATGAAGACTGGAGAAGTCTATAACAATATATTTAAAGTACCCAGTACAATTCATGATCTATGATAAGCACTTAGTTGTTATCGCTAAGCAGGCTTTTGCATATATTTGGGAGATAGGAGAGCCCTTTGTATAGAGAATAGCTAGAAAACAGTGTAAGAGTGTGTAGAAGCAAATACAAATTGTGACACTATGTAGGAATTCAAAGTAGGAGATGATGTGGGTGGGCTGGAGTATTTGGAGAAAGCCTTAAAGGAAGAATTTGGAACAGGATGGAGGGCTGGGAATGAGAAGTAGAATTATAGGAGTGGAGTGTGCAGAGTCCCAGAGCTGCTGGACCCTTGTGGATTCATCCACAGTAAGCCCCTTTTGAGCCCTCGCTTTCCCTGCCTCATCCCTCCTCCTTGGGACCACCCTCACACTCCCCTGCATTTCTGTGGGGTGTTCCTGTTGGGTTTTGGAAGCCAAATAGTGTTGAAGGAGAAGGTGATAAAAACAGGTTTTCAGCAAGCCTTTGTCTTCCTGCCTGATCAGCAGAGCTCAGGATGTGCAGGCAGGTATCTTCCAAGCTGCTGGAATGAACTAGAACGTTGCGGTTATGTGTGTGTGTGTGTGTGTGTGTGTGTGTGTGTGTGTGGCAGAAGTGCTCTTGGCTTTCAAAATCTCAGCCACTCAGCATTTCCCAGACTTCACACTGCCACTTTGCAGGGCTTTCAGCTAGACTGTGAAAGGCTAGGTGGTAGAATAATGCGGTAAGTCAATGCTTTGGTATCAGACCTGCCACTCCTGGCTGAGTGGCCTTGAACCAGGCTGCCTGGCCTCCCAAGCCTGGCTTCCTTCTGAGAAAATGGGCTGTGTCACATCTGGTATGTGCTGAGAATTGGCATAATATAAAACTGTCTGCCATCACAGTAAAGAGGGTAGCTGGTTCTAGAATCAGAATGGCTGGATCCAGACCCACTCTGCCTCTTACTAGCCCTCTGACCTTGTAAGGGTATCTCATTTTTCTAAGCCTCACTTTCTCTACCTGTGCAATAGAAAAACCAGTAATACCCTTTCCCCCTGTGTTAATTAGAATAGTATCACACTGATGTTGGAAGTTTGGTTTATTGTCTACTTGACTTCTCACTTCCACTTCTATGAGTTTTGATCAGCAAGGTTTGTTTTGTTTTGTTTTGAGACAGAGTCTCACTCTGTTTCCCAGGCTGGAGTGCAGTGAAGCTCTTCGCTCACTGCAGCCTCCACCTCCCAGGTTCAAGTGATCATCCTCAGCTTCCTGAGTAGCTGGGATTACAGGGACCCACCACAATGCCCGGCTAATTTTTTTGTACTTTTATGATAGGGTTTTGCCATGTTGGCCAGGCTGGTCTCAAACTCCTGACCTCAGGTGATCCACCCACCTTGGCCTCCCAAAGTGTTTGGATTACAGGCATGAGCCACTGTGCCCAGCCCTAGATTAGGAAGTATTTATTGAACACCTGCTATGTATCTGCTACCCCATAGCAAACAAATGAGTGAATGCAACAGGGTGATATGACAGTGTGTGACAGGTTTGATGGGTAGTGGGGTTGTTTTTCTTAGGAGGTAAAACTTCAGCTGGGATCTGGAAGATGAGAAGAGTCAGGGACAGATGTTCAGAAAGAGGGACAAGCAACACAAAGCCTTGAAGAGAGCAATCTTGGCTTAGAAGGCACAGAAATTCATGTGATCAGAGCCAGGCTCAATGGAGAGGGTTGCGAAACAGGGCTGGAGAAGGAGGCAAGCTCGGAGGGTCTTGAGGGACAGTATAGAGAGATTGGACTCTTAACTCAAGGGTATTAAGCAGTAGAGCAACAGGATATTCTGACTGCTGCAGGGAGGGTGGACCATTAGGGAGCAGAAGCAGACCACAGAGACCGGCTGAGGCACTGATGCAGTAGCAGTAATGTAGGTGGCATTGGTGGCACTGTGAACTGCAAGGTGGCAGTGAGGGCAGAGAACTGGGAGCATTTGGATATGTTTTGGAAACAGGGTGATAGCACTGGGTGCTGGATGAAATGTGGTGGTATTGGTAGGTGGGGAGATGGTAAGGAAGAAAAAAGAAACAAAGAGCCATTGTTAGGAGATTGGACTTAGGCAGCTTGGGAGCGACCTCACTTGGTTGCAGGGTTGGGAAATGAAGAACATCTATTTTAGATGTGTTTGAGGATACTCTTTGAGTTCGAGCTACTAATCAAGTTGACAGGTTTCTCCTGACTATTGCTGCTTTCCCTCCCTTGGTGTTTCATTCCAGAAGTGAAGGCCAGAGAAGTCATACAGCAGCTCTTCTGCCCCCCTGACCTGACAGAGGGGACTGCTGTGGAGTTCTTCCCTGCATGCCCTTAGCCCTAGTCCCCAAACTCACTGCCCCTACTCTGCCACTAGGCCTGGGAAGGAACACATTGTTTTTCATAAAGTTACCAGGATGAAGTTGAGGATGGCATAGGATATGGGTAGTGCCTGTAGCCACCTCTGCTATGGAAGTACTTAGTGCAGAGAAGGTCCTGTCAGTCTCTTCACCCAGCTTCCAATCCTAGGCAGCGATTGACATGGACATGAGTCACATCTGAGGCAAAAGAGCTTTGTCCAGGGCTTCATGGCACAGGTTGGATCTTTTCAGAGATGGTGTTTGTTTGTCTTTGTCATCAGCCTGAGCTGGTACAGCCTAAGGTTTTGGTGCTCAGGATGTGTGTTTGTCTTGGCAGCTGGGACGACAGCAGCTCCGTCAGCAGTGGCATCAGTGACACCATAGACAACCTCAGCACTGATGACATCAACACCAGCTCCTCCATCAGCTCCTATGCCAACACACCTGCCTCCTCTCGAAAAAACCTGGATGTGCAGGTGAGGAACAGCAGCCCTCCCAGGCTCCTCCAGTGGCCTCTGCCATCAGGGGCCTGTGGGATAAGAGGGCTATTTGGGGCAAGCAGAATCTCTAGCCTCCTGCCACCTATGCTCTCATCTCCTGACGGTGACCTCTGTCCACGAGGGAGGGGACAGGCAGGGAGTGCTGGACAAGGGAGTAGGGAGGCTTCACCACCCTCATTGTGTGGACTTGATGAAATCATACTTCCACCCTGGATCTCGGTTTCATAATTTAAAAAAACAAAACAAAACAGAAAAGGATGTTGGACTTTAGCCGTTTTCAGCCCAGAGTGTGTGTCTCTTCTTTGCCTCAGCGAGCCACTACTATCCAGGGGCACGTGTCTGATCCCTCAAGGGGGATGGGTTGGAAGTGAAGATAGAGAACCCTGGACCAGAAGGCCAGGATATCCTGACCTGTGGTTGAGAATTCTCAGTCTCTGGGTTACATTCCCCTGCTGATGTGTTTTGTTTGGCCCACAGTATTACCCCTCTTTTAAACTAGATTCCTGTCAAATATTAAAAATTACATTATTCTGTCCAGGCATGGTGGTTCACACCTGTAATCCCAGCATTATGGGAGGCCAAGGCAGGTGGATCACCTGAGGCCAGGAGTTCAAAACCAGCCTGGCCAACATGGCAAAATCCCATCTTTACTAAAAATATAAAAATAGCTGGGTATGGGGGTGGGTGCCTGTAATCCCAGCTACTTGGGAGGCTGAGGCAGGAGAACCACTTGAACCTGGGAGGCAGAGGTTACAGTGAGTCAAGATGGCACCATTGCACGCCAGCCTCAAGCGACAGAGTGAGACTCTGTCTCAAAAAAAAAAAAAAAATTGCATTATTTCACATGAGAATGTCTTTCTGGTTGCTCTTGAGAAAACAGAAGATAATGCTTCCTTGAGCCTACATTCTCCATGTGGTGACAATCAACAGATGTCCCAGTATCCAACCCCGTTAGACCTGGCGCTCCTGCTCTGGTGTGCACAGCTGCTACCTGCCAGCCAGCTGTACTCGGTAAATTACCTGCTTGAACCCAGGACACTGGAGTTTTCCACCCCTGCTTTAAGCCTTCAGATTTCACATTTCGAATTTGGCCTATTTTCATGTGGACACGTTCACTGGCCCTCAGAGTATTCCTTCATGATTGGCAAGGGATGGTTCTAAAAACCCCATTTTACTAGTGGCACACTGAAGTGTCATCCTCACAGCTTGTCCCCAGTTTGGGACTGACCAGCACCAGGACTGGTGAGCTGTGGTGGCACTGGCATAGTAGGCTGGAATCTTTTTCGTGATTGATTCCTCCCACTTGTAGGGAGCCCCGCTCTTTTGGGCGAACTCTCAGGGAAATCTGTTTGGGACAGAGTCTCCCAGGGAAACCTTGGGGAGGACAGAGCTAGCTCTGCCTCTCCTTTCACTCCCTTCCATAGCCTCTTCCTTTCTCAGCTGTGTTTTACTTTGTACAGATAGGAGCTGATTTGGAAATCTCTTTCCTTTTAAAGGTGTTTCTTCTTTGACAATAGGGGGAAAAAAAGGATGTATCAGAGTGTTGGAGTAATTCTGTCCCACAGAAATAAAACGTTTGCCCCCTGATGAAATACATTAGGTGCTGCCCCTGGGATTCCCAGTTTCTTGCATTCTTCATTTGAGCCAGACTTTCTGATCATTGTTCAGAAACCCAACCTAGTGATGGCAGGTCCTGATAGTTGTTTTAAGAAACAAAAACTACCATATGACTAGAAAGGGGTCATGGGTAATGTTCTATTTCTTAATGAGTGGTGGTTATGTAAGTATGTTAATTTTCTAAAATGTATTTAAGCTATGTACTTGAGATTTGAGTATTTACTGTACAAAAAGCAAACAAATGAAACCTAAACCACATTTCCCAGACTGGTCACTGTTTCATCAGTGATTAGACACAATTCAGAAATGCCCAGGCAGGCTATGTTCCTGCCACCTAACGTATCTTAACTCTCACAGTATCGAGTTTTTCTTTCCTTGTGAACACTAATTTTTTTTCCCCTGAGACTCATCGTATATTCAAGATAAGAACAACCAGACTGTCCTTAGATACTAAGGAGGGAACCAAGGAATTGGTCACCTGCTTCTGTGTTCAGGAGGCAGACTGTTAGAGGTACTGTAGAAAGAAAGAGAGATCAGCGAGGTTTCCCTTGTTTACTTACAAGGTAGAAGAGGCTTGCTCCTGAGATGCAGGAGGAGCTAGTAAAACACTGTATTGGAAGAATCTCCTTGTCTGTGTTCCCATCCTGCAAAGCTGAAGTTAAAATCTCTGGTTCCACATTGATAAACACCTGGGATTTGTACATGACTTCCTATCTGACACAGTTGAATTTGGCTAATGCCGAGGCCCCAGCTCTTTGGACCAGCTCTTTGCTTTCATCTTGTAAATGTCACACCACAAAAGGTTGCAGGATTCTGCACAAACATGCCTTTTGATCAAGATCAGAAGTTATTTCAAGGGATGTAAATGGTTTACTATTTACTGGGTAGGCTTTTTTCCTATAAGACTACCTGAGTTTGAAATAGTAAAATGAAAACTAAAAAAAGTAGGTGTTAGAGTAAACTAAATGCAGATCACGTCAGTAGTTACTAAGATTTCTTATGCAATGGTTTCCTTAAATGGATTTTTAGTGACATTATCTTTGTTCCTGTCCAGGGAGCATCTCAAAATACTTGAATCAGCATAATTCACAGGCTCCCACCCTCCTCTCTCATATCACACTGAGGAATGCTAAGGGCCATTACTCCTCTCTAAGCAGCATCAGACAATGGAAAGATGTGCATTGCACCCTTCCCAAGAGCTGCGCCTTCTGTGCTCTGGCTCATTTGGGTTCCTGTCACATACTGGTGTACCCTGGAATGGGGGCAGCATGCAGTCTGCCAGGCAAGACATGGAGAGGCAGGAAGAAGTGGCTTATCGTGTCCATCAGGAAAGCAAAATAAGGACAGGCTACCTGCCTGGCTTTTGCAGTTTGAAAATCTTCTGAGAAATAACTAAAGCATCTCAGGAACAGGGAAGTTATTGTCTGGAAAACCTAAGAAACAGCCTCATGTAGCTGATTGAAAGAGGAGACAGATCATTGGGAATGGAGGGCCTCCATTGTCTGTGAGGGCCTCCGCTATCATCAGGGACATTGAGGAGCAATGGAGAATGCCCTCCACAAAGCACAGGTGCCCAGCTGCCTAGCTGTCCAGGGTCAGCTCCTGTGCCCACTGTTTCCTCGGGGCTGGGCAGAGAATCTCCTACTTGAAGCCCAAGAGCCTCTTGAGTAACTCCTCTGAGAGAGCTGGTGAGTCTGGTTGGCCAAACAGATTGTGGTGTTGGGAGAAGGTGTGGACTTGGAAGCCAGATGGTCTTGAATTGCACTCCTCACTCTATGACATCCTTGGATGGACTAATTACCCACTCCACGCCTTTGCCTCTTCATCCGTAACATGGCGGTAATTAGACGAATCTCCAAGGGTGAGTGTGAAAATAACGAAAACGTTTTATCAGCGCATGCTTCTCTAAGTGCCTCAGACTGGGTGGTTGCTCAGAAGTTACCTTCCTCCTTCCTTCCATTTCTCTTATCTCTCCCTCCCTTCTCCCTCCTCTCCTCTCCTTCCTCTCTCCTCAGCCCCTGCCACCTGGGTTAGCTGTTCCTCTGCCTCCAGCCTCCATTCAAGTCAGTAACTAAAGGTTGACTGAATTCTTAATGTACTTTCTTTGTAGCCTCAAAGCAACTCATCTTATTTTGCAGCATTTTATTCTGAGGATAGGTGTTGGTGGCAGAGTGACTCCCTCACATATTCATCTATACATTCAGTATTTTCTCTCAGTTCTATGGAAGTCACCATCACAGGTGCCAAGGAGCAAAGATGCACACATCAAGATTTCCTCTCATTTTCAACACTCGTTAAATGTTTAATAACGTGGAGGAAAACAATTATTCCATGTCATTTTTGTTGTTGTTGTTACTCAGGGAAATAAAATTTGGAATTATGCGGCAAGGATTCCTGTCCTGTGTGGCCTTGAATGACCCTAGAACTCTCTAGATATTGGCATGGATGTAGGGATGGAGTTTGGCTGGGGGCGAGAAGGGGTGCCCCCTTCCGCCCACTCACTGGGTACATTACTTTTCCCCTTCCGCCTTATATTTTCCTGATGTGTAAAATGTGGATAATAACACAGCCTGAGATCAAGGTGAGTTCAGGATGTATGTAGCTGGACACAGTGCCTAGTAGGATGACTGGCAGGTGATGATGTTGATGCCAGTAATTATCTCCATGGTCACCGGGGCTCAAACTTGAGCCAGCTCAGCATCTAGATCTGCAGGGGATGTGGCACAAGGAGGGAACATCCCTGCCTGCCAAAGGCCTGTGACCTAGTAGCCGAAGAGACCAAGTACCTTTTCTCCCGAATGCAAGACGAAAGTGGGATAAATGCTAAAGATAGACAATAGACTGCTGAGGATTTTCAGAGGCAGGAAAGTTGGTCATGAAAAGAACCACTGTTTACTGAGCGCCCCCACCACTGAGCTGATTGAGTCCACCATCAATGCTGTAAGAGACCTACTATCACCGTGTTTTATACATGAGGCAATAAGTTCAGAGAAGTAAGGCAGGGTCCTCGAAGGTCATGCACAGCCAGTGAGTGGCAGCACCCAGCATTTGAACCCAGATCTGTCAGACCCAAAGCCCACACTCCTCCCCACATCATGCCAAGCTTCCGACTCTTCAGGCCTCACCTCTTGCTCTCAGAAGCCTGGCCTCCCTTCTGAAGTCCCATGTTTGTGGCTTCTTTTCTCACCTTCCCACTCGGATGACTATATAGACTTCCAAGAGCAGGCAGTAAGAAAACCCTTCAGAAAGGAAGTATCATTGAGATGGGAACTGGCAGAGGCATGGAGGGGAAAATAGGATAGAACTCTTCTTACATCCCCATATGGATGTCCTGCTGGCTGGCCCTGCTATTGTGAGTGCTGGGAACAGAGAGGCTTGGACTTACTTATTTTTTGATCCCGACAGGTGCCACCATATGGTCTAGTACGTAGCTCATGAAGGATTCAGAGTAGAGCTGGGAAGGCAGCCACCCTGGACCAAGCTAGGGAGATATGATGGCTGGATGATTGCTCTTTCTAGAGAGAGAAAATCAAGCCACATTCTTAGCCCAGGGATGTGTGCACTGTCTCTGCCATTGATGAAATTGGAGTTCTATGAGTCCCACCCAGAGGCTAGGCAAGAGCTGCTCTTCACCTGGGGTTGGGGAGCCTGCCACTGTGGAAGGAGAATCTGCTAGATATAAGGTGTTACTGAGTATGCACAAATGTCTCACATCCCTGGGCTTAACTTCAGGGAGGGCAGTGTAGCATGGTGGTTAAAACATGGGCTCCACAGTTAGAGTCCCTGAAATCCCTGCATCTCTGCTTCCTCAGTATGCTTGGAAATTTTCTTTTCACTCTGTGCCTCAGTTTTGTCATGTAAAATTGAGACTATTAATTTTAATTTCCTCATAAGTTTTTGATAAGGATTAAACTTAATGATACATGTCAAGCACTTTAGCTTAGTGCCTGGCACATAGTAAGTGCTCAGTAAATTGTAGTTATGCTACTACTATTAGCACCATTATAATTTGATTGGGGGGAAATAAGTACAGGAACATTAAAAGAATAAATAATGCAGTAACCCAGGATGTAGCATATGCTAAATTTTCAGTACCTCTTAGAGAATATTAGAATATGTTAAAATATACTTGAATGTAAGCTCCATGAGGTTAATGATTTATACTTGTTCATTACAGTATTCCTAGTGCAAATAAGCTTTCCTGGCACATAGTGGCACCCAATAAATATTTGTTAGGTGAGTGTTCCAGAGCCAAGTTCTTTCCTGCCTCAGGGTCTTTACACATGCACTTCCCTCTCCCTGCCATGCTCTGCCTCAAACTTTTCTTTTACTAAGTAAGTTTTTTCTCATTCTTTAGGTTACTTCTTTTTGAACTGACCACTGTCCGCTACCCCCATCACTGTCATCTAAATTAGGTCACTGTCTATATTTCTTTCTCAGACTTTTTGTCCTTTACCTTATAATAGTCTTCATAATCTTCAGTTACCTACTTGTTTTTATTTATTAAATCTCTGCCTATTTCACTGGATTGTAAGCTCCATGATGGGTAGGAAATCAGTCGGATCCCCGGATTGTCTGACCATCCTTGGTGCCTGAGAGACAGCAGGCCTGGAGTAAATTCTGGCTGAATGAATGTACTGGAAGTGTTCACAGGAAGGAAACTGAGCTGAGGTAGTTGGGACAGAGAATGGGCAACTTTACTTTCTGCTCATCTGTAAGACTGAGATAAAAATAAGAGTGCTTATGTACTTACTTCCCTGATTTAGATAGAGGCTGAGGTCAGATAATTTTGGTAATGTGTGTTGTGGCCTGAAAAGCATGTGTTCCTTGGCTCCTTCGTTCGCTCATCAAGCTTTGAGTGAGCTCCTGCCCTGTGCCCACATGTAGGAACTCCCCTCTCTCTGTTCCTTGCCATAGCTGGATGATGAGCTTCTCATAGCCAGGGAGTATGAGTTTGTCCTCCTCATGTCTCTGGTACCTAATACTTAGCTGGAAAAAAACACATGAAAGAACTCATAAGGTGGCTGTAATGGATAAATTGAAAATTCATAAGGGGAGAAGGGGTTGAGGCGGGTGGGGGAAGGCCATTAAACTTGAGCTGTTTTTAGCTTTTATCTTGTTCAGCCATTGTAGTCTATGGAGGAGGGCATGTTCCACTCTTGGATGACAGGCGTTAGGCAGATTCTTGCCAGGTGTTCATTTTAATTTCCTATCTTGCCTACTCTTGGTAGTTAAGCATTGCAGATAATGGGACTGGTATCTTAGTGTACATCCTGAAAGTGCTGCTGACTTCCCTTCCCCATTTACTGTGCTGCTTCTCACTACTGACATCCTCCAACTGACCTCATACCCCAGGAGGCCTCCAAAGCATTCTGGTCAGCTTTTATGCCTTTTAGCTGCAGGAGATCATTAACATCACACTTCTGTCCCCTTCTGGGTTTCATGGCCAGCAGGTCAGGACTCTTCCAAAGAAAGCTGGCTAATTATAGCCCTTGTCAGAACAAAATCCCACAAGGGGAGCAAAGCAGTGGTGTATAAATGATGCTGGGGTCAGAGCAGGCTCTCCGCATTTGGGGGAAGTGCCATTTGAGGATGTGCTTCCCCTTAGCTCCTGACTCCCCCTGATTTGAGTAGAACCAGCAACCACCCTTGCTCACATGCTCCCTTGCTTGGTGTGTTAGATCCAAAGATCTCACTGTGAATGGAGTGATGGGAAGAAGGCAGAACACAGGGAAACAGGCCAGGAGGCTGGATGCTGGTTGAGATCAGCCACCAGAGTTGGAGAAGCCCTGTTCAAGTGGCAGAGACTAGGTGGTGGCTGAATTCCCACCGCATCTTCATCTGCTCTGCCATTTCCCCTCCCTAGGGCTCTTTCTTTCGTTTTTCCTGGGCCCCTTTCTTTGGCTTTTCTTTTCTTTTCTTTTTTTTTTGAGACAGAGTCTTGCTCTGTCACCCAGGCTAGAGTGCAGTGGTGCAATCACGGCTCACTGTAGCCTCCACCTCCCTGGGGTGATCCTCCCACCTCAGCCACCTGAGTAGCTAGAACTATAGGCATGTGCCACCATGCCCAACTAATTTTTCTTTTTTTTTTTGCAGATACAGGGTTTTGCCATGTTGCCCAGGCTGATCTTAAACTCCTGGGATCAAGCGATCCTCCTTCCTCAGCCCCCCAAAATGTTGGGATTATAGGCCTGAGCCACTGTGCCCAGCCACCTCATTCCATTCTAAGGATACATTGATATTATTTACTTTTCTTGGACCAACAACAACAACAACAACAAAAAATCAGGCTTTCTAACAAGATAACCAGAGTACAAAAGTCCAAACCTCTTTAAAATAACGATTATTTTTCCCTTAACTACTCCAGTGTTTTGGCATTTTTGCCTTTGGAGTGAGGGGCTTCCCAGCCTAGGATTTGGAAAGGACTAATTCAGAGAGTCTCTGTCCACAGACTGACGCTGAGAAGCACTCACAGGTGGAGAGAAATTCCCTGTGGTCTGGTGATGATGTCAAGAAATCAGACGGAGGCTCAGACAGCGGCATAAAAATGGAGCCAGGTTCCAAGTGGAGGCGGAATCCTTCTGACGTGTCTGACGAGTCTGACAAAAGCACGTCGGGCAAGAAGAATCCCGTCATCTCCCAGACAGGCTCATGGCGGCGAGGCATGACAGCTCAGGTGGGCATCACCATGCCAAGGACGAAGCCGTCAGCCCCAGCAGGTGCACTGAAGACCCCAGGAACTGGTAAGAGGCCAGAGCACTCTTGGCCCTACGGTTGTCATTTTTAAAACCAAAACCATAGTTAACTCTAGCAAGGACTTGATGTTATATATGTTGTCTCAGGATTTTATACTCTGCTAATAACGAGCTTAAATAAATATTCACATTCCTACCTTTTTCTAGGTGGAAATAAGTAAGCATGGGAGCCTCTTAAGCTCGGAAGATGGTTCCACTGCTGAGACATATTGAATTGGTTTAACTAGACACTGGGCTAGAGTTAATGCAACTAGTTCAGGCAATTCAACAGCATGGGTTTATGAGCTGTGGGTACGTTGAGTTGACGTTGTCCCTGATTTAGGGGATATTTATAAACCAGGGCAGCCATATCCCCTGGACATGTTAGGGGCACCCTTTTAATGGACAGAGGGTAAAAGGTCAGAAAATGCAGGGGGCTATTTCCCCCCAAACATATCAGTGATTGGCTGGCTTTGCTTTTTCCTGTGTAAATTTAGACTGCTTTGCAAATGAGTAAAATCACTGATATTTCCTAAAAGGTTCACAGTACATCCATAGACTATATTATTTTTATAAATACTGTTTCCTCTGCCTCATCAAGGGAAAAGTGAACCAGATCTTCAGAGGATGGGAGCATCTTAAACAGATGAGATGGATGAGCTGGGCTCTTGGATTGCAGGCTAATCTTGCTGATCTCTCTCTTAGGAAAAACAGATGATGCAAAGGTGTCTGAGAAAGGAAGGCTTTCTCCAAAAGCCTCCCAGGTGAAGCGCTCCCCATCAGATGCAGGCCGGAGCAGTGGTGATGAATCCAAAAAGCCCCTCCCCAGCAGCTCTAGGACACCCACTGCCAATGCCAACAGCTTTGGGTTCAAGAAGCAGAGTGGTTCTGCTGCCGGTCTGGCCATGATCACAGCCAGCGGGGCCACCGTTACCAGCAGGTCAGCCACACTGGGCAAAATCCCAAAGTCATCTGCACTCGTCAGTAGGTCTGCTGGTCGGAAGTCAAGCATGGACGGGGCTCAGAATCAGGACGATGGGTATCTGTCCCTCAGCTCCCGGACAAATCTTCAGTACCGGAGTTTGCCAAGGCCCAGTAAGTCCAACAGCCGGAATGGGGCTGGGAACAGGTCTAGCACCAGCAGCATAGATTCCAACATCAGCAGCAAGTCTGCAGGCCTGCCAGTGCCCAAACTGAGGGAGCCTTCCAAAACAGCCCTAGGCAGTTCTCTATCAGGCCTGGTCAACCAGACAGATAAGGAGAAAGGCATATCATCAGACAGCGAGAGCGTGGCTTCCTGTAACTCGGTAAAAGTGAACCCAGCAGCCCAGCCTGTGTCCAGTCCAGCTCAGGCCACTCTCCAGCCTGGAGCCAAGTACCCAGATGTGGCCTCTCCCACACTCCGCAGGTGAGTGAGTACGTCAATGATGCTGAACAGAACCAGAATACAGGGAGCAGATTTAGTCATTTCCTGTTTCTTAGTTGAAGCACCCTCTGTTTTTCTCCACTTCGGTCCTCCAATAAAGCCGGTTGGTCAGATCCTGCTGGCAGTTTTTCAGTTGACTATTTTCCCATGTTGGGATCAAAAACTTAGGCCTCTGGAATCAGTCATCTTGGAATCAAATCTTGGCTCCATTTTAATTAGCTGGCATATAACCTTTCTTAACAATTCTCCCTTAGTTTCCTCACCTGTAAAATGGGGATGATTATACTTTTTTGTCAGAGTTTTTGTAAAGATGCACCTTTGTAGTCATGTCCGCTTGTAGTACACACTCAGTAGAAGTTAGCTACCATCCAGGATGAGGTCTTGATGCACCCTTAGACCTGGGTGGGTAGCTCAAGGGGGCAGATATTTTTTTTCTTATGTTAATAATTCTGCAGCTAAGCTTCCTCATTATGGCAAGCAGTGAGTGATCTTGACCAGCTTCTTCCTCTACTCGCAAAGCCAAGCGTCCCCACATACGCTTTTATACTGCTACAGAATTCCAAGTCAGTCTGAAATTTCAGCTTCCCCCTCCCTACCACACACACACACACACAAACACACACACACAAACCTCTTAAAGAAGAAATATTTCTGAAAAAGATAAATTGATTTCCTATTACCTTAAATAGACATCATTTTCCCCACATTTTCACACTGGGTGGAAGCTCTACATGTAAAAAAAATTACTCATTTGTTTTAAGTTTCTTTTAAATTTATTCAACTTTTGCCTTTTTTTGTATTATCTTATTGTAATATCCACTGGACCATCCTCAAACCACAACTACATAGGTTACAGTTCATCCTACCTTCCCAGGAATTTCTTATCGTAAGAAAGAGTAAGTACCAAGGAAAGAAAATCAAGCAGTGAGAAAATAAAAATTATATGCACACGTACATATTTGGGGATGAACAGGAATGTTTGAAAAGACTTCAGAAGAAGCATTCCACATGAAAGGTATAATGAAGCACTTCACTGTTCTTTGTCTAGACTTGATTATTGAATTTCAGTAACGATTTTTTTGTTCAGGGGTAAGTCTATTGGGCTGCTCTTTGTTGTTTTAACAGATTGCCTTGTAAATGAAAATTTTCTGTTTCTTGCCTCAAGTATTATATGTAATATTCACTCTTTGGTATTATAGATTTTCTTTACTGACTACAAAGGCATTTTACTAGACCCTGAGGCTAGTGTAATAGAATGCTTGAAAATGCATGCAGCTCCTGGGGCTCTGCATTGAACCCCTTCAGCCAATTCCTGGTAAATTACATTTTTTCCTAAATCGTTAAGGTGTTTGTTCTCAGTTCTCTTGATGTGTATTAGAGAAAAATCTTAGGTGAAATGTGATAGATAACGCTCTTCAAATTATTGGAAGGACTAACAGACAAAAGATTAGACTTTTCTATATAGTCATGCATAGTAGGATGAGGAGCAATATGCAAAAGTCAGGAAAAAAAATGTGGATGAGATTTGGGTTTTCTAATAATTGAAAGTGCTTGGCAATGGAGCAAGGTACCCTTTGAAGTAACGAGGTCCTGATCATCACTGAAGTAAGTATTCTAAAGCCAAGATTCTATATTAGGAACTTTCATTCCCTGGTTGTCACAAACTGTTTCCCTTCTGCTACCACACACTGTAGTAAGGATTGATTGATTGATTGTCTTTACAGTACTTGATATTTATAGGACTGTTTGGAGAGGTCAGAGAGATCAAACTCTCACCACTATGAGCACCGAAGGCAATGTGCATATCAGAATACATAGTAGTGTTGTCACTGAGATATTTACTCCACACAGGGTTTCATGAGTGTAATTTGCATTACTAGAATGTGGACAGTTATCTGAATTTAAGATAATTTTAACATTCTTCCAGTAAGCTCTCTGCCAGTGGAAGAGGGGGAATTTATGTCATTCACTGTAGTCTGATGGCACATTTTTGGCCACGATCAGGGGAGATGTCATAGAATGGCATTTCTGTGTGTCTGTCACAGAGACACAGTTCACACCCAGTGTATCTGGTTTGATGTCTTGTGAACCCAGAAAGATTTCCATGTATGTCATTGGATAAGTAAGCGCTCTGGCTTCAAAAGATACATGTTTCAAGTTACGCTTTCTATTGTGGAGACATCTCTGAAGGTATTTTTCCCAGGCCCCCTCCGGATCTAGACTGATGCTCTTGATTCTGTGTATTGTGCTGAGAGGTCAAGAAACCCAAATCCCTTAGAGATGAGCTGTCCCGAGGTGGGCAGATCATGAGGTCAGGAGTTCGAGACCAGCCTGACTAACATTGTGAAACCCTGTCTTTACTAAAAATACAAAAAGTAGCTGGGCGTGGTACCACACACCTGTAATCCCAGCTACTAGGGAGGCTGAAGCAGAGGAATCATTTGAACCCAGGAGGCGGAGATTGTGGTGAGCCGAGAGTATGCTATTGCACTCAAGCCTGGGCAACAGAGCAAAGACTCTGTCTCAAAAAAAAAAAAAAAAGAGTTAAGCTGTCATAAACTGTGTGCCTGCTTTATGCCTAGGGTCATGGAGACCAAGATGATGAAGACAACTATCTTCCCTCTGGATGTTTCCTGGGCCAGGGCAATTTTCTAGTTAATCTATTTATTGAAAAAAAAAAAAAAAAGGGAAGATCCATCTTGGCCCAGTGTGATGTGGATAGGCCTGTAGAATATTATTACTCATGGGTCTTTGGCTCAGATAGAGTAAGAATCTTCATTGCAGCTTAGAACTTGAAGATGGCAATCTGTGATACGCTAGTGTCCAGGCCCACTTTATGGCCGACCTTCCCCTGAAGTACCTTTAGCCATGTCAGCGGGAATGGCTGTGCTTCCTGCCCCAGGAATTCTCACCAACTCCTCTGCCCTTCCCTTCTTTAACGTCCGATGCCCCTTGGCATTGGGTTTTCAACCTACACAACTGTTTGTCTCTTCACAGACTCTTTGGTGGGAAGCCTACCAAGCAAGTGCCCATTGCCACAGCTGAAAACATGAAAAATTCGGTGGTCATCTCCAATCCTCATGCCACCATGACTCAGCAAGGTAATCTAGACTCCCCGTCAGGCAGTGGCATCCTGAGCAGTGGGAGCAGCAGTCCTCTCTACAGCAAGAATGTGGACCTCAACCAGTCTCCACTGGCCTCCAGCCCCAGCTCAGCCCACTCGGGCCCTTCCAACAGCCTCACCTGGGGCACCAACGCCAGCAGCTCCTCTGCAGTTAGCAAGGACGGCCTGGGCTTCCAGTCTGTCAGCAGCCTCCACACCAGCTGTGAGTCCATCGACATCTCCCTCAGCAGTGGAGGGGGTCCTAGCCACAATTCTTCCACTGGCCTCATCGCCTCCTCCAAGGACGACTCCCTGACTCCCTTTGTCAGAACCAACAGTGTGAAGACCACACTGTCGGAAAGGTTGGTGCTGTGCCTCTGGCTGCCTTTCTCAGAAAGTCACCCTTCCAAAAATAAAAAGATTAGCTTAGGAATCCCAAATGTCGAACGGCCTTTGCCTGTGAGATGTCTCTCTCTCTAATTACTGCTGTCTTTCATGAGGAAGCCAGTTTGGGATGGAATCAAGCTTGGCTCTGCTTCCTGTTATCTTTTCCTCTGTGTTTATTCTTGGTGCTTGGAGCTGCTCAGTCTCTTGGGGGCAGGTTTATGCTACCATTTGAAATGGCATTCAGCCTTTGAAATCGTTCAGTTTTATCCTGTTTGTTCATCAACACCTTCTTTTCCCTCCCCTTGTAATTATGCAAGCAGAGTAGGTGACTGGGTACAGCCGTGGAGTGTGTAGAAGGATGTTCTTTAGACAGCTGGGTAGGTCTGTTGTCACCGTGGCAAACACCCTTCTCCCATATTGATAGGAAATCAAGAAATTAAAAGTGTTTTCAGAGCCCCGGATTTCACTGCAGCAGGGATAAAGGTGTCCAGTTTCTGCACATAGGGAAGAAAGCAAGGATCAGCATGGGGAATGAGAAAAATGTGTATAACAGCACCTCTCCTTTCTTCCAAGCTAATGTTCCTTCTCTTCTTTTCTACCTGCCTGGACTTCTAGCCCTCTCTCTTCCCCTGCTGCTAGCCCTAAGTTCTGCAGAAGTACTCTGCCCAGGAAACAGGACAGGTAATGACATTGCAGGCTGGGGACCCACCGAGCCTCTAGGTTCTTCTGCCCATTCGTTGTCAAGCCAGATGTCTTGTGCGAGGCTGTTGGCCTAAGGCTCCTGCTTGTGTTTGTGGCTCTGGTGTACTCTGTGACACATGGACATGCCAGTGAGAGTCTGTTCCTCTGTCTGCTAATGCCCAGGGAGCGGTGGAGTTGGGCTGGCCCCTTCATTCCCATTTTGGGAAGCCGACCTCAAACCCTGACGCTTGATCTGGGGCAGCTGGAGCTCTCGCTTGCATGTCTTGTGGCCTCCTGTGGCATGTTCCTGCTTTTTAGCTTCCTTCCCATTCCTTTCACCACCCCAATCCCCAAGTCCAGAAATGACCTGCCACGCACCGTGCAGCTTGGCCCTCACTTTTGTCTACCCCTCCCCAAGCAGCTGCCTCTTCTCCCTTTCAAAATCCTTTGTTGCAGTTTGGCTCATTATGTCTTGCAGACTGTTGTGTTCTGTGTGCCCATCTCCTGCAATGATAATGAAAAAGAGTATGTAGAGTGCTGAGACTTTACGGATGTACATGCTTGTGTTTGCCCCCAGCTGTGGGTGGGCCTCAAGATGGATACTGACCTTAAATTTGTGGAGGAGCGAAGTCTTGGCCAAACATAACAAGCAATGTTGTCTCCTGCCAGAAGAAGAAAAAAACGCCTTCGCCCCACCAACAGAGAAAACTTTGTTTTTGTCAGCTCACAAACCAAGCCTTTAAACCGTTGGTCTTTGGAAATCCAAATGCTTTGACTTTATCAGCCAGCAAGTTGTAACATGTCCCACCCAGGACTCAGCTCCTAGCTATGCCTGGGCCGCAGAAATTGAGAGGGACCTGGAATTCACTTCGTTACAGATGAATTCCAAATATGCAGACTGCTGGCCTCTTGAAACCTCCAACGAGTCCCTTCTCCCACTTAAAGTCATTGCTAGTGGCATTTAGGGGGCGGGCCAGAGTTAGGGGTGCAGAGAAGCGGGCATCCTCCTCTCTGAGAAGCCGTGTTGGTGCAGAGAGGGCCCCTGGGCAGCAGAAGGCACAGGACCTCTGCTTTAAGGTGGGGCAACCCCTGAGTTTTGCTTTGAATCTGTGGAAAAGGAAGAACAATTGGGGTTAAGGGACTCAGGCCTCCTGGTGACCTGGGGTAAAGTATGCGCTGGTGTCAGCTCTGGCTGAGGATTGGGTTTCTTTTATTTTCTGTGGATGTGGATGTGTTGCATTGCATGCCTAGCTGGATAAGGCACTTCCTGGTGATGTGTGCCTCTTTCTCCAGGGCCCTGCAGCCCCCTCCCTAGCTCTCCCTCTTCCTGCCTTCCTGTGCTGCTCTGAAGTTCTTATTTTTGTTTTAACTTTCCTACAGTGACCCGCACCTTGATAGGAACACTTTGCCTAAGAAAGGACTCAGGTATCTGTGTTTCCTACTTGCATCTGTGCCATCTGTTGTGGCTTTGGAGCTTGGCTGTGTGACTCCTTCATGGCTGGTGGGGGTTTGGGCTGGACTGGGGTCCCCGCTTTGACCACCACAGCAGGACCTCTTGGATAATGGCTCCTCTTGCACCCTCTCGTTCTCGCTCTCCATTTGTCAGCTTATTTGCTTGAGCAGGAGCTGTGCTTTGTCAGGCTTCATGTGGTAAAACCATCTCATGAAAAACATCCCTGGGCAAGCCCAAGGAGCAGTCACTGCTACTTCTGGGACCAGTGGGTTGAATCTCTGAGCACTTCACTGTGACCATTCTGTTTACATGGCTGTTTTCTAAGAGAAAGGACATGACTTATAGCATACTGTTTGTAAGCTAGGACAAGAGCAAAGGAGAGGAATATTTTCCCCAGATTTGAAAATATTTAACTTCTCTGCCAGTAAAAAACTGCTAAAAAGATCCTTTGCACTTGTATAAATATTCTAATGGAAAATTGGTCTACTTTCAATGCCCAACAAGACATGGTGTGATCATTTTTTGGTGGATAATAAAAGACTCCCAGGAAGGACTGTCCTTCCATTCCTAGTAAGTAGTGGCTCCAGTTCATTTTTAGTGCTAGTCCTGGCAAAACAAGATGCTATAAGTCAGCATTGCTCACACCATCTACATCACTTGGCCAGTCAGAGAAGCTTCAGTTTGCTAATGCCGCCCCCATGATCCTGCTGTCTGATGGTTGCAGCTGTCATTTCTCCTGCTTTCTCAACACCACGTGCTTTGTAGTACCAGCTTCACCCTGCACTAAGCATTAAGTGCTTTCGCATAAAATGGAACTTGGAATGAAATGTTTCATTGCTGTCATGTATGTCTGTAGTTCATAATCTGCAGCGCTTAAGACTGAGAACATTTTGAACAGTAATGTGAGGTAGGTATCAATGCTTCCTTTCAGTGGGAGCCTCTGAGTAAAGCCAATTACAAGAATCTAAGAAAGTATTAGAATCTCCCAGCAGTCATCCTGCAGGAGGGAGTTGAGCAGCGTGGCCTTAGAGGGGGCCTTGGCAAGGCCTTTTGTGCTTACCAGCTTCAGTCATGCCTATGCTTGTCAGCAACCATGCCAGGTGCTCAAATCATGGCCACTCTCACTGTGAGTTTGATTTTGATGCCCCACTGGTGCCCTGAGAGGAGGCTAACCTCTAAATGTTAACACTTTGAAATGGTGCATATACTTCTGTAGCAGATCTAGCCTATCAAAATTATGTAGCATTCGTTTTTTAAAAATTCAGAATAGAGATATATGAAAGGCTATTTTCAGGCAATTGATGTGTCCTAGAAAGTTGCATATGTGTCAGATACAGCAAAAACATTAAGGAAGAAGCATTTCTATGCTCCCTCTGACTCCTCCTGTCTAGCTCAGCCACTCCATACACATGAACATCCAGTACTGACACACCGACAGCATCTTTCCCTAAGCCCAAGGAATCCCTCTATGTACATAATCAGTAGTCACTTCATAATACATAAGTCGAAGGGTACCCTGGCCACTTGGCACTTGAAATTTCAGATGCAGGCTGTGTGTGGTTAGCTCATGCCTGTAATCCCAGCACTTTGGGAGGTCAAGGTGGGCAGATCACTTGAGATCAGGAGTTTGAGACCTGCCTGGCCAACGTGGTGAAACCCTCTCTCTACTAAAAATACAAAAAATTAGCTGACATGCCTATAGTCCCAGCTACTGGGTGGTGGGGGAGGGGCTGAGGTGGGAGAATCACTTGAACCCAGGAGGTGGAGGTTGCAGTGAGCCGAGATCGGGCCACCTCACTCCAGCCTGGGCAATAGAGTGAGACTCCATCTCAAAAAAAAAAGAAAAAGAAAAAGAAGACAAATTTTGGATGCTACTTATGGGCATAATGAAAAGAACATGCATTTTAAAATCAAACATGGATTGAAATCTCAACTCTGTGACTCCTGGCAGGGTCCTTACCTTCCCTGAATGTAAAATGCAGATTGTGGCATCTGCATTGCTGAGTAGGTCTGAGGCTTTGGTGAGATAATGTGTATGAAGGCACCCAGCACATTGCAGACCTTCAAGAAATCATCACCATACGCATTTCAGAATAAATGAGGAGGTGGACCGCATGACTTCTAAAGACCCTCTCCTATGAAACCCCATGATTTGGGGTTCCTTTTGTGAAGATTTGTTCATGCTCAATTACAGCAACTACTGCATCAGTGTCCTCAGACCTTGCTTTGTATGTCTGCTTTTTCATGTGCTGTGATTCATGATCATTTATTTGTGCCGAGAATGGCAGATGCCATGAGCTGTCTAATTAAAACTCCCTCAAAGCTCTAACAGCAGCTCATTTTGTTGCTTCAGTCCTGTCAAGGTGGGGGCTTTGACATGACACTGTCATGAAGCAACATGTTACAGATACGCCCAGTACGGCTTTTCTGAGCTTTTACCAATCTTCTTCCCTTTATGTGTTCCCTCCAAACTGAAAGGAATTGTCATTTTCCCCAAACACAGCCAAATAGAAAAAAGGTTTTGAGAAACTTCCTAAGTTTTGGGGTGTGTAGTGATCTGATTTTTTTAAAAATCATCTTTAGATATATGTTTTCTTTTTGTATGTTTATCATCAGCTCCACAGAGTTCATTTTAATAAGTGTTATTCATAGTTAATTCCAGCTTGATTTCTGTCTGTCCAGGTATACTCCCACCTCTCAGCTTCGCACACAAGAAGATGCAAAAGAATGGTTACGGTCCCACTCTGCAGGAGGCCTGCAGGACACCGCTGCCAATTCCCCCTTTTCCTCTGGCTCCAGCGTGACTTCTCCCTCTGGAACAAGATTCAACTTTTCCCAGCTTGGTGAGTAGCCACGTCATTAGCCTTGCTGATCAGCTCCATAGGGCAGTGATTATCTTATATATATAAAATATATTCTTACTTCAACAGGTTTTGGGGAACAGGGGGTTTTTGATTACATGGATAAGTTCTTTCATGGCAATTTCTGAGATTTTGGTGTAACTATCACTTGAGTTATCTTATATTTTGAAATAGGCATATAGTCACATCCCTCTCAGTGTCTGATCAGCCCTCAGCAATATAGTTTGATTATAGGAGATTGATAGGAAAAGAAAGAGAAAATAGTAAAGTTTTTGATACTCTAGTCAGTGATTTCCTTTATGTGGTTGATATAGGTAGGGCTATGGCAAAGAACATGTTATCCCATTCTTAAAAAGAATGCGTTCTATTTCTGGGACCTCTGAAGAAGTAGATTTTATGCATATCCCATGTTGGGTTATCCTCATTGCTGTATTAAGCTGGAAATAAAAGTTAAGTTTTGATTGAATAGGTATTCTTAACAATGCCTACTTCTGACATAATGCTTTGACTGGCACAGTGGGGAAAGGAAAAGAATTTTTGACACAGTCCCTGCTGACAGGTCAATGGATTCTTTTTCAGAAAGACAAACATGTCAGTGCACACCTGTATAACAGGGCAAAAGACAGTAATTCAAAGCCTTATATGAAACTGTGTAAAAGCTGAATATAATTAGATAGCAAGTGTTAGACACTTTTAGAAAAAGAAAAGGTTAATGCTGGCTGGAGTTATTGGCAGAGGTTACTGTGAAGGTGGCAGGGTAGGAGCTGAGCCTTGAAGGACTGATAGAGGGTGAGAAATCTTTTCTAATCTCATCTCACTCTTTAAGGAGGCAGCCTTTTCTGAATATAGTGAATAACAAACTCAAAGTATTTAAGGATAGGGTGGCTTGTAAGCAAGTGAGGCTTAACTCTTCATTTCTGATGGACTAAATGAGTACCTCTGAAAATACTGCTCTTTACTCAAATGGACTAGATTTTCATAAGAAAGCTAGTTTTGGCTGAGACACATGTGCCTCCTTTGCATTGAAACTCTTTATACAACATTAAATATACCCCATCTGAGGCAATGAGACCTGTGTTCATATTGTTCTTTCCCAGCCATAACTCTTTGAGGCAAAAGATTCTTGTCATGTACAAATGCTTCCCATCTGATCAAAAGCCTGGTTGGACTATTTTGGGCTTTTGGCTTTAGAGAAAATCATTCCAGATGAGCCTGGGGAGTAATTAGCTCATGCCTGGAAGGTGACACTGGCCTGTCTGAACGTGCCAAGTTGGAAAGCTGAGGCCCAGAGCCTTGCTTTGGAGCTGACCTGCCTTTCCACTCTTATTTTTAGCTCCTAGTCTGTAACTCAAGTGCTGATGTGACTACCTTTTAGAAAACAGATGGGAGAAGAATTGGCAGGAACATGTATGGCTAACAATAAGCAGTCTTCTCTTTGTCCTCAACCAGGATTTGAACAGAGACATGAATGTCCAACCTTTTGATTCTGTTCCTTTTATTCCAGCGAGTCCCACCACTGTCACTCAGATGAGCTTGTCCAACCCGACCATGCTGAGGACCCACAGCCTCTCCAATGCCGATGGGCAGTATGATCCATACACTGACAGCCGCTTCCGGAACAGCTCCATGTCTCTGGATGAGAAGAGCAGAACTATGAGCCGTTCAGGCTCATTCCGGGATGGGTTTGAAGAAGGTAAGGAAGGAAACTTACCATCTCCCAGGTTACTCAGTGTAGGGTCCTCTATGCTAAGTTCACTTCGCTAACCTGAGAGCCCACCTATAAATGCTCCCACCTCTCCCACCTACTCTGGGGGTCAGGGATGGGGATCTGAAGAGTAAGGTCTGGCCTGACCCTTGGTTAACCTTCCAGGCCTTTAAGGAAGAGGCTGCTTAAAAAACATTGGTGAACCGTAGAGCTGACTGAGTTCCGCTTTAGGCTTCTCACTCCTGGACTTGGGCCACAGCTTCTTGGCATGCATCTCCACCTTGAGGTTTAGCCACTGGCTCATCATCTTGGCAGAGAGAACTTCTGGAGAGTTCATTTCCCTGTGCTGACATACCCATGTAGCTCTGTGGGCCGGGCAGCCATGCCCCTCTGCTCTGCTCTAGAATTTTTCATCTCTTTTGTCAAGTACTGGGTTTTTAAGTTCATTATGTTCAGGTATGCCCTTTTCTTTCTTTAGTTGCTAACTGTGAAAATTTGGGGTTGGATTTTTATCCTTTTAATTTATTCATTTTAATCAGAATCATGGGAGAAAAGTTCTGTAGACAACTTTGTCAGCCATCTTCATAGCTCACTTCATTTGTCTCTCCCTTTGTTCCATCACCCAAGGTATAAGTTAGGAAAGTAAGCAGTCAAAATTCTGCGGAGGACCCCTACCCCATGAAGATGGGGCTGATAAGACATTGGAGGCAATGCTCATCAACCAGTGGTTAAGAATATGGAGTCAAGCTAGCAGAGCTTAAAATCCAGCTCCAGTGCTTCTTAGGTATATGATTTGGGGCAAGTTGCTTCACCTCTGGTTTTTCACGGATAAAATAGGAGTAATAATAGTATTCAGCTCATGGAATTATGAGAATTAAATGAGATAATACATATAAATGTTAACACAATAATGTTACTACATATCATGGCCTGTAATAACACAGCCGTAAAGCTATAATAACATAGCTGTAAAAACACAGCTTCAGCATTGACTTCCTGGCAGCTCAAAGTCCCCAGCCAGAGAATAGGGAATCTTGGAGAAAATGGACCCCAGGCTGAGGACTGTACATCTAGTTGTCCCTTTATTACCACTGACGAAACTGAATGTGGAGGCCGAGTTGTAGGTGCTTTCCAGTCCCCATATGAGTAGGGAAATAGCGCCAGCATCCTCCAAACATGAGAGAACAAACAAACTTGTGATTGTTTAGGAAGCTTCAAGTCAAAATAAGGCATAAGATTCTGCTTTTGCCTAATATTCTTTTTAACAGAAGTTTTAAAGAATTTATTTACAGAACAATTGTCCTTGGTTTATCTTCTTGGCAACTTAATGCTTTTCACCCCGATTTATGTATCATTTGCATCCAGTGACATTCAGTGAACAGGCACAAGTCTGTAAATCCATATATGGGAAGCTGCTGGGAAAGGAGGATTAAGGAGGGGAGAAGCCTGAGTCACTGAGGGGCACTTGTGAAATTTAAGAACAAGAAATTAATGCTGTAACCACTCAGATCAGTGATAGTAGAGAATATCTTGTGACCCTAAGGTGAAGGAAGAGGTGGTTTGTCTTGAACTTCTTTCTCGTCAGTGTACTGGGCAAGTATTGCCACAGAGCATTTTCCAACCTCCCTGGGAAGGATTTGCATATGGAGTGTGTCCATCACTGTATTCATCTTTTCTGTCATGTGTGTTCCTGAGTGAACCACATTCAGTACTGAAACTTGTCCAAACAAGCACACTTCGCCTCATAAAGGTCCAGGACCATTACAGTATTGTCGTCAGAGAGCTTTTATTTATTCCATCTGGAATCAAGCTGGCAGGCAGCACAACTGTGGACTATCTGGGATGTCAAATGACATTGATAAAAAGTGCTTGCCCACGAGCAGTGTCTAGACTTTTGTAAACCTAATGATTCATGGTGACGTGGAACTGAAGCACAGAGGTAGGGGAATGGGTAGGGACTGCTGTCAATACGCTGTGAATATGTAACATTCTCATCTTTTGGAAAATATGGCATCAGATTGATTTTATTTCTTCTTAGAGTATTACATTCAAAAACAAAATAGGGCTTGTGTAATTTAATAACACAATTAAAGATTTCTAATTCCTTTCGGTAAAATTCCTTTTTGTTTTGAATTTATTAACTCCCAGTATTTGCAGAAGCAGTTGGAAGAAAATTGACATTTTATGTTTGGACCAAACAGAACCTCCTTGTAATAATAATCAGTTAGATGTATTATATACCACAAAGCAGGATAGAAATTTAGGAAGAAGTAGCACAAGTATTTGTGTGAGGTTTTCATGCAATTTAATTAGTACTTTCCACTTTGAAGGAGTTTTTGGTATCATAAATATGTAGATTAGGTACAGGCATGGCCCAGATACAGCCTTTCAAAGGTGTTTCAGGTAAATTAGTTTCTATCAGGTGCATTATGCGATCTTAAAGTCGACTTTAATAGCATACATTTAAGGAAATGCTTGAGGAATTTTTAAAATGGATTCTAGAGAAAAAAAAAATCCTGTGACTTCACCAATCATCACTGAGAGCTAATGCAATGAAAAACACAGAAACTCTCCACCCTATCAGTTTATATGGAATCCCCAGGAGCAGAGAAGCTTATTACCTAAAGAAGCTTGTATTGCAGCTTACTTGTGTTTCCAGCCTCTGAGTTGCAGTAGTGGTTCAAATCCTGGAACCCCTGCTGTTAGCAATGTGACTCTGAGAAAGGACTTGACCTGCTCAGCCTGTTTCCTATTCACTAAAATGTGGAAAATAATTGTACCTGCTTTGGAAAATTGAAGTGAAGATTAGGTGAGATAAATCTTGGAAAGCATTTAACAAATAACTTTGAAAGGGGAGTACTGTAAGTGCTCACTCAATGGTAGCTATTGTTGTAATTGTCATATTATAGCCTTCTCCCCAAGGGCCATTATCATCCTCATTTTTTTTTAATGGCCAAATTTTGGCAAAAGTGACTTGATGACTTTTTTCTTTTTTTTTTTTTTTTTTCTTGGTACCGTGATTTGATGACTTTATGCAGCCACGATGATGTCTTAAGCCTCTTGATTCCAGTCCCTCTTTCTTTCTACTCAGTCCTACCTTGATATGTGACTCAGCTGGGTTTTTTTTTTTTAAACCTGTCTGAGGCAAGCTCTGATCTTTTATCAATACTTCCTTTGCTGATGGAGAGGCAGGACAGTGCATTAGTCATCAGAACTGCATTTCATTCTTCCTGACTCTTTCCACAGTACCCAACTGTGGAATGAGAAGTAGATTATCATGCCTAGATCTACATTCTCTCTCTGCTCCTGACTAGTTCTGTGTCTGGCTGGCCACATCACTTAACCTCTCTGAGAGTTCAAGTATTGTGTTGTTGATTAAGGGTGGAAATTCCTGCCTAGTCTGGGATTGTTACTTGCAGATTCTCTGTGATGAGCGTCAGAGGAACTTGATTGCTTCACTGGCTGGAATATGCATAGTTGTTTTATTCTGTCTAGTGTTTTCAGGCCTACTAAAGCATCTTTCTTCTCAAACATTCCTAGCTTGTGCCCATGCGTAGATTGCATGAAGGAACTAGGACACCATTCCAAAAGACACCAAAAGGCTCTTTAAAATAAAACAAGCAAACAACAAACAAACAAATCAGAAACCAGTAAAACAGATCACTCAAAGGCAGAGCAATCTCCTGACTTCTAGTCAGCAGATCCTGTTCTTGAATTGCTGGGTGACCTTAGCAAGTCATTTAACCTCTCTGAGTTTCAGATTTCTCAATGGCAGAAATGGCCTAGATACTCTCTGTAGTTCCTTGTAGCTGAAAAAAATATGGAGGTAGAGCTAGAGGGAGGAAAATTACATAGCCTGCTTTAGCTGTTTGGCCTCTGTAACTCCCATAGGCATTTTGTTGTCCAAAAATAACCACACTGCACAACCCAGGCTCTGACTTGGCTCAAGTCCCTTGAAGGAGGGCCAGCTGCAATGGTTCAGGCAAGCCACATTCAGTTTTGGGTTGACTGAAAATCAAGGAATCTGTCTCTTTGGAATACAGCCTTGCTATTGCTATTTACAAAGTGAGAGGAGTTAATTATCGAGAAAAACAATTACTACTACCTTAAGCCTGCCAGATGTGCTCTTCTCTGCCTGTGGCTCCATGCTTGCACTGAGTTGTTGTTAAAACTGTGTCAGTAAGTTTATGTGTGTGAGATGTAGAAATAGAAAAGAAAAAGCTTCCATTTCTAGCAGCCAGAGGCCATATAGCAACCATGTGCTGGTCTCTGGCAGGCCAGTCATGCAAGTGTGTATGGCTGTGTGTTACCCATGTCTCTTCACCCAACTTGGCCTCCAACATAATTTCTCCACTATTGTCTGTGCAGTAAGCTGAATTAACTTACCACTGTGGAACATTAGGCCACTAAATTGGGACATTAAAGGCCTCTGTTAATGCGTAGACATATTAACACTGAAAGCCATTATTGGCCATTAACACCTTAACCTGATTTTTTATGGGCATGAAGTCAGATTAGTCATGAGTGAAGGAAGAAGTGGAGGAAGAGATCTAGAATGCAGGGCATTGCTAAGGAGGGTGGATGTACCTGATGATATAGGGACAACTTAGAGCATTAGGGAGCTGCTGAGAGAAGAGGGCTGGAATGGCAAACCAAGAGTTACGTGGGTTCAGAAGGAGGAGGAAGCCCCCCAGGTGGCAGTCAGGGGGATGAGGAAAGCTTCTGTGGAGAAGATGTCATTTGAACAGAACTGTTTTGGATAGACGCTATTTAGATGCAGCCTAAACAAAGAGAACTGCATGGGCAGAGAAAGTACTGTCTAGGGCAAGCTTAGGAGAGCAGTACAGGATTCATAGTGTGACAGGAACATATAAGGGAAGAATGAGAGGTCAGGGAAGATTTATTGGAAAGATGACAGACAGGAACCTGAGTGTTAGGCTGAGCTACTTATCAGCTATCTTGTTGGCATGTAGCTTCTGCTGACTGCTAATCCAAGGTGAGTTCACTTCGTGGGTGGTAGATGAATGCCATTTACTACATGTGGAAGTTACCCCTGTGCCTCTCACTTTAGACTACAGGTCTTAGCTCGGTGTGGGAGTAGAGCCATTCCACCCATGGCCAGGAAAGCTGTGCCCAGTTAAAAGTTCTGTGAGGCCTTGACATAGGAATATTTCTGTTTTTCGAACAAGTTCTCAAGAAGTTACCAAGAAAATAAAGAACCTGCTTCCCACAAAAGAAGGCAGCCAGAATATCCAAGTCCTAGAAAAGTCTATGCTGTAAAACTAGAACAAATAATAAAATGTCTGCACTGGCTGGGGGCTGGAAGAGATGCTAAGGATGTACAAGTTGGTTCTAGTCAAAATGTACCAGTTTGAAATATAAAAGAAGATACCACTTGCTCGTCACTTTGTAGACATTATAGATAGCAAATAAAAAAATCTATCTTTCGATGGATATGTTTTCTAAACAAATATTCTGCTATATGGTCATCTGGAAAGAACTTACTGTGGCCAATAGCCTCTTAGATTCAAAATAATCAGCTCAGTTCCTTGCATATACAACTGACAGATGCTAACAGGGCAAAAAGAAATGTATATGCAACGTGGTCTTAACCCTAAAGGAATACTTTGGAAAAAAGAGTGAAGCAAAATATGCTGGAAAAGTAACAGGTTCCCTCCGGGCAATGAGATTGTGAGTCACTGCAGGTTGTGACAGTGAATATGCTTCTTAACACTTCTCTGTACTTGAAAATTTTTGTTCAGTATCATATATTATTTTGACAGTCAAGAGAAAAAGCATTCAGAAGGTTGAAGGAAAAATGCGGTAATAGGAAAGTGACATCCTTAGCAGACTATTACTTATTTGTCACTGACCTATTGCCAAACCAGAAAAGGTTGGGCCAAGGTGAAATTAAGTCATTCCAAGCCTGGGGTGTCCTGTGCTGCTGATTTTCTCCTCCCTTCTCCCCTTTTTGGTTCCATAACAGCCATCTATCAATTCACCTTTTTTTTCTTTTAATAGTTCATGGATCCTCACTCTCCTTGGTTTCCAGCACGTCGTCAATTTATTCTACAGTAAGTATAAATCACTGCTGTGTGGCTGTGATCATGAGAGCTGGGGTTCCTTTATCACATGTGTCAAGAATAAAATATGTGCATTTCTCCTAGGGAAAGCATTTCCATTACAAGGGGATCAATTAATTAGGCAACAAGATTTAAAATTCACAAACAGCTATGAATTATACCAACTCCAAAATCGAGAACTGGCTGCCTTGTTAAAGTGGCATTGTACTTTAGGTGATAACTGGCTAGAATGTGTGAGAAGCCTTGGCCACCTGCTGATGGCCTCGGCCGGGGGTGGGTGGGGGGGGGTGGGGGGTGGGCTTGAGCAATTTATTAACCCTTTGTCTGCCTTAGTTTCTTTATCTGTAAAGTAGAAATAATAGCAGTCCCTACCTTATAGAGGTGTAATAAGGATTAAATGTTATGAAGATTACATTTCACTGTAATAGAAACTCTTTCTAGACAAGGATGTTTTTGTTTTTATTCCCAATGCCTAGAACAGTACCTAGCACATAGTAGATATTTTTAAAGTAGGTTTGAAGGAAATGAGAAAATGCGTCTAAAACACACAGCTCAGAGCAAGCACTCCTAAATGCTAGCTATCATCAAAGAGACGTTTATTGAATGAAAGGCAAATGTAATCAAATACACTTGGATCTTCAGAACTACTGGATTTGTTCAGTAGTGCTTACTTTTTATAGCTGTACACTATTCACTGTATTTTATTTTATTTTATCAGACTCTTGCTCTCTCACCCAGGCTGGAGTACACTGGCATGATCTTGGCTTACTACAAGCTCTGCCTCCTGGGTTCAAGCAATTCTCCTGCCCAGCCCCTGAGTAATTTTTTTTACAGTCCACTCCTGGCTAATTTTTTTTACATTTTTAATAGAATTGGGGTTTCATCGCATTGGCCAGGCTGGTCTCAAACTCTTGACTCAAGTGATCTGCCCACCTCACCCTCCTGAAGTGTTGCGATTACAGGCGTAAGCCACTGTGTCTGGCCATAGCTGTATACTATTTACTTTAAAAACAGTAATTTGGAAATTTCTACAGGGGGAAAAAAATAGTCTTATTGTTAATTTTGAATTGGAAATTCTTTAGCCCTTAATCCTATGGAAACAAATGTTTTAACAATTCAGGTTTTGATAATGCCCGGTTTCTGGTACATATAGCAGGATACACTGTGTATAGCTCCTGGAAAATCAGAGGCCACCCAGAATCAAGTTAAAGATACCAGGGCCTAACTGTTCTTTCTTAGGCCTGTAGTGAGCAAACAAACTTCAGTGATTGCTGATTTGGTCTGTTTTGAAGGACCTAGAAACGCTTGCTTCTATTCCTACCCACCTCACCCTTCCAACTCTAAAATTTTTCTTTCCTCAGCTAGTCATCTTGTTTGAAATTTTATCACCAAGTCCTAGCTTTCCTTTTAAAGGCTTTATATAGAGTAATCTTGGAGAGAGGTTTTTTTAAGCCATGATTTACCAAGAAAGCATGGAGATGCTCTTTCAGCTGTCAGCCAGTAGATAAATGATGTCCTTTTTTCTAGAATGAAACTGTGGGATATGGGTACCAAGGTTGGTACTTTCAAACCTAAATTCACTTCTACAATAATATTTACTGGCACCATGGCTATGCCAGGGGCTGGACTAAGCCCTAGGATATAATTTAGTAGAGAAAGGAGCCTGCTACTGAAGGAGGAAGCCATAGGCACCAGAGGGACATGGGACTCTAGCTTCACAGGGCAGGCGCAGAGAGGCTGTAGTAGATGTTTCAGTGCCCAGCCCATGTTTGCCTTGTGGCATTCCCAGTGGTTCTTGTCTGGGGTTCTTGTCTCCCAGAGTAAAAAATGGGAGTCTGGCCAGCATTGACCAGCCTTGAAGGGAAAGAGCTTAAGCTTCTCCACCTGTGTGTCTTCAGATCTAGGAGTGTCCTAGTCACATGCAGTTCCTGGGGGCAGCCCCTTCATGCCAGCCAAGTCCTTTCAGTAGCTGTTCTTCTGGGTGTGGGGACATGAAGACACTGTTTTCATGAAATTTGAAATCATCATTTCTGAGCTGATATAAATTCAACAAATTAGCAAATGCCTAATAATAATACTTTTAAATTCCATTTTTATACGGATAACAAGAGACCTGAGGTGTAATCTTAGCATTCTTCTTGCCATGTGACTTCCAGCAAATCACCTGGTTATTTAGAGTGTCTCTCCAGTTTTGCCCTTGGCATCGGAAAACTGAGCAAGGTGATGTGAGCCCCCTACGATCTCTGACATTCTGTGAGTCATGGAGTCATTTACTGTCTTCACATAGGCCCTCTCTGAGAATATGGGTTGCTTTTGCAGACTTAAAAAAAAAGATAGCCTAACATTTGAATGTTCTTATGCTCATATAGTCTACTAATTTCAAGAAAAACTGCAAGTCTGGCTAGACTCTGCTACCGCCTAGCACTGAAGTGTGGTCCCTTTTCTATTATTACCTTCTTAGTGATGATGAAATTCTGAAACCCATGCCCCAGGCACCTTTTTAAACGTTAAGGTGAATAAAGTTCTTATTCGTTGCCCAAAAAGAGATCTTTGAAATCTGTTAAGTTGCCAGAAACTCAGACCAAGCCTGCTTAATAGCTGAGAGTTTTAAAAGCTTTTATTGGATGACAGTAGGTTCTTTCCTTGAAATCTCTATAACGAATGTTCAAGAATGCTTATTCTGCATGAAAGTTGCCTGCGATTTTAATTATAAGTGAAAGAAAAGAATACACAATGCTAAATGATTGCCATGGAAAAGTTATGACTAACTCTTAATTAGAGTAGAGAAAAATATCAAAGGCCACCTCTGGCATCAAACTTGTTTTCCTGTTTGGTAGGGAGCACTTGAGTTCCCAGAAGAGCTGCTGAATGGATGGCGGCTAGCAGCGTCACATAGTGTTCCCAGATGTGCAGAACAGCAGCAACTGTGGCGAGATATAAAGCACATGCTTTCTCTAGGCTGCTGTCGATAATAGGGGCCCAATCCCAGAGACAGGGGGGCACAGTGACGGACAGTGGCAGAGGCATGGGGAAGGGCTGTTAGGGCCTGTCGATGGAAGTGTTTCAAAGTAGGTCTGGTCCTATGTGGATGGTTAAGCCTGTTAGCAGGCCTCCACCAGCCTTCCAAATGTTAAATGGTGGTTACATTCTCACTATTAACTTGTACCCTTTGTATTGAACTCAGGGGGCTTATTTCTAGAAAGCCTCCATGAGAATGTAGCTATAGTAAAAGTGCAGGAGAATATGTGTAGGCTCTGGAGCCAGACTACTACTTTAGATCCAGTCCCAACTCTGCCACTTACCGGCTGTGACCATGGGCAAATTACTAAACTTTTCTGTTCCTCAGTTTCCTCGTATGCAAAACAGAAGCAATAGTATTAGTACCTCCTCAAAGAGTTGTCATAAGGATTAGATGAATAATGAATGTAAAATGCTAGGAACTGTCTCTGGCAGATGGTAAGCATTCAGTAAATGCTAGCTGTTACTACCAGAATGCAGGCAACAAAAAGTCAGGGTCTTGGTCGTGTTCACAGCTTTATCACAGGGTCTTAAAAACAGTGCCTGGCACACAGTAGGAAGTCAGTAAATATTTGATAGGTGGTGGTAGTGAGGATGGATGGACAGACAGATAAAGATGAATGAATAGTATCTGGGAGGGAAGAGTGAGCTCTAAGGATATCTTCCAACCTTCTCTTGAAAGCATTTCTTAGATAAGGAGGTTGTTCAGTGAGACTTTAGGCAAGACACTTAACCCTTCTGAACCTTGGAAGGAATACAAACAAACCTACCTAATGGAGTTTCTGCAAGGATTAAATGACTTGGCTCCCTGTATTTAAAAATTGGTTGCTGCTATTAGGAGCCATTCTAGAGGAGGGGACTCGTGGGCAGGATCAGGAGGGAGGACAATGGGGAGCACAGGGTGAAGGGAGATCAGACAGGAAGCATCTGCCCTCCTGTTCCAGCTGATGGATATGGACTCTGCAAGTTCTAATGAATTATACCCACTTTGTATTGTGGACTCATGGAGACATCAACATCAGGGTCGGATGCTGATTTTTGAAAAATAATGGGCTTATCCCTAGTAAAATTGGATCAGGACACTTAGGGAAGACCCAAGGACAAAATAGAGTTCTTACTGATGTTCACTCACCTACCTCGTTCCCAAGTCACTCTTCCCTCCCTGGAGAAATTAGAGTGATGGGTAGAAAGGTCAGGAACAATCAACATTTCTAGGAACTGGGTAGGTTCTTCTTTATGAGCCCCTGTGGGAACTAGTGGACAGGGAAAGAAAGGTTCCTCCTGCAGTAGGTTGTCCAACCCATGTGGGCTCCCCCTATGGGAGGAGACAGGGTCTTATAGTTTCTGGCTGGCAGGTACCTGTGTCACCACAGACACAGAGCCAGCATGGAAGGAGCAAAGAGGGAAGCCAGTAAAAGGGGTAACAGAGTTCACCCTTACTCTACAGGGTCATAGGTAATTGGGGTCCTTGAACGGGGCAGCATGAAGAAGAAGGCCACATTTATTCTCACAGCCTGTGAAGTTACTGGGATGGCCAGTAGGGGCTCCCAAACCCCCCTCACTTTGAGGTCTTTCTACCCTGCTGCTCCTGTTCTCCCACTGCAGTGCGCTAGGGAAGTGAGAGGAAGGCAGAAAATGGGGCAGAATTAGCCCAAGATCAGTCTTCCTTACTCCCTAGATAGGGTTGCCAGAGAAAATACAAAACACTCAATTAAATTTGAAATACAGATTAACAACAAATTTTTTTTTTTTAGTAACAAAATTAGACACTTTTTTTTTTTTTTTTTTGAGATGGGCAGCCTCTGTTGCCCAGGCTAGAGTGCAATGGCATGATCTCAGCTCCCTGCAACCTCCCAGGTTAAAGCCATTCTCCTGCCTCAGACTCCCGAGTAGCTGGGATTACAGGTGCATGCCACCATACCCGACCAATTATTTTTGTATTTTTAGTAGAGGTAGATTTCACCATGTTGGCCAGGCTGGTCTTCAACTCCTGACCTCAAGTGATCCACCAACCTCATCCTCCCAAAATGCTCGGATTTCAGACATAAGCTACCGTGCCTGGCCCTAGACTTTTTTTTTTTAAAGTTATTCAAATTTAACTAGGCCTCCTGTATTTTTATTTACTAAATCTGACTCATGGCCTTCTCATCACATACCTTCTCCTGCACACCTTACCTATCACCATCCCTGCCTGGGGAGCAGGGTGGCTCCACACAACCAAAATGTGGAGTGGTATTCTCATTCTCCCTAATTTTTGAAAATAATATGCTGTTTGTATTTGGCCTTTCTGATGGGTCAATTTAATTGAACCAGTTTATCCAGAGAAATATACCAGAAATTAAACTAATAAATCTTCCAGACTGCTGCAAGTATCTGAATATGGTATTCCTGGTGGGCTGGACTGCACTATTCTTTGTTCCTTAACTGGTCTAATTTCCTTTATGTTTTCTTTACAGCCAGAAGAAAAATGCCAGTCAGAGGTAAGGAAGAGCTTGCTGGTTGGATTTCCTCTTTCGCTATTGTTAATTATTTGACCCTGCTCACCGTGGAAATGGACTCCCAAAGCATGTAACCCTCTCCCTTGTCATCTTTAGATTCGCAAACTGCGGCGGGAACTGGATGCCTCCCAGGAGAAAGTTTCAGCTTTGACCACCCAGCTGACAGCAAATGTAAGTACAGACATAGGGCAGTAGCATTGGGACAAGAAGCACCATCCTTGCCTTCTGAGCAGCCTCAAGTCCTCCTGTGCTGAGCAAATAAAAGTAGCACATTGTAAAGAAAAAGACACAGGCTTTAGCATCATGGGTGTGAATGTCAGTTTGGACACGTACTGGCTCTGTTACTTTGGGTAAGTTCTTGAATCTCAGCCTGCATGTGCTCACCTATGTAATGAGGGTGATAGTGTTTACTCTCAGTATTGGCCCATGGTCTATGTTTGCAGTATACGAAGTGCTCATCAAAATGTTAATGTATCTTCCTCTTTCTGAAAATTTTGATTTTAAGGGAGAAAAATCAAAAGCAAAAAGAAAAGAAGGGGGAAGAAAAGAAATGTAGGGCTTCCCAATATGTAGGTAGCTGCTCTGTCATTATAATACACATGATTATGTGTTCAGCAGATGTTGCCAATTCAACAGTGGTTTGAGCACCAGCTGTTCCCTGGGCCTGTGGGTTCAGCAGCAGAGCAAGCACAGTGACTGATGTCTTAACATTCAGTTTCTTGGACAGCAGAGAGACAAAACAAATAATTTTGCTATAACATGATAACTGTTAAGATAAAGGGAGGAGATGGTAATGGGAATATCAAGGGGGAGCACCTCGCTCACTCTTGGTGAGGGATGAAAAAGGGGACAGCTCATCAGATACTGAAAATAAGAAAAAAATTTTTTTAAAAAGGTAGGCAGGAAGGACTTCCTGGAGGAGGTGACATCTAATGGATGCTATTAAGGGAGAATGCATAAGGAGGACAACATTCTTTTTTTTTTTTTGAGATAGAGTTTCGCTCTTGTTACCCAGGCTGGAGTGCAATGGTGCGATCTCGGCTCACCGCAACCTCCGCCTCCTGGGCTCAGGCAATTCTCCTGCCTCAGCCTCCTGAGTAGCTGGGATTACAGGCACGCACCACCATGCCCAGCTAATTTTTTGTATTTTTAGTAGAGACGGGGTTTCACCATGTTGACCAAGATGGTCTCGATCTCTTGACCTCGTGATCCACCCGCCTCGGCCTCCCAGAGTGCTGGGATTACAGGCGTGAGCCACCGTGCCCGGCCGGGAGGGCAGCATTCTAACCAAAGAGAATAATTTGCACAAAAATTAAGGAGAAAGATCTCGGTGTATTTTTCAAACTCTCAGTAGGTTGATGTAATTAGTATCTGTTGCTTGGATGTGGAGGAGAGGTAAGCGTGGAGAGGGGACAGAAGTAGGGAGAAAGAAGACATCAAAGAAAGGCAAGGGGTCAGATCACAGTGTCTGAGCTGTTGGAGTGAGCATCTGGGCTTCCTCCTGAAGTTAGTAGAGACCTCTCAGTGAGTTTTAAGTAAGCAGTGGGTGGCCTGGTTTGCACTTTGGATAGAAGATCAGAGTAGAGGCAGAGGTCCCCCATCCCCATCCCCATCAGCCCTGTCTGTATAGGAGCCCTGCTGCAGAGCTGTGACTAGGTGAAGGCTGAAGCTCAGCAGACAGAGCCTGAGGTATCAAAAGGTGCTGAGGTGCCTCTGAGGCAAGGCTTGCTGCCCAGGAGTTCACCACCCAGGCTGACCCCATTGCTAAATGTGTTCAAGCTACATAGAAAGCAACCTGCATGACCTCCGCATGTCATTAAAATGGAAACCAACTTCAAAATGCTGCCTTCCTTTCACTAGACAACTGAGTCAGTCCTCCACATTAGTCATTTCCCTGGAGTTTTTGCCGTGGTATTCCAAGCTCGAGCCTTAGTTTACTCAAGGGGACCATTTCTCTCTAAGGTTGGCATGCAAAGTACCTGGTACAGTGCTCGACCTTAGCTATGAGCTCAGTATCTGCTGGCTGCCCCCATTAATATGTAGTCTCCTAAGTTCGCTTTCTTTTCTGGAAATCTTTGATTTTTTTAGAAAACCCTAACTTAGAACACCACAATGTGTTTTGTAATCTTTCATTTTCTTTACCTCTTCTACCACCAGTAATGCCATCAAAAGAACTTTAAAATCTGATGTGAGAACTTAATTCTGAGGTGTAGGTCCTATTCAGAAAAAGAATATTCTATAGGTGGGCTCTATTCCATGGGCAGATTCTTCATCTGGATAATCAAATGTGTAGATTTGAATCCAGAACAAACTCTAGAGCCAGCAAGTCAGGGTCTTCTGGGTGTAATCCAAACATGTGGTTTGACAGCAAAGAGTTACAGATGTCGGGGTCCAAAGTGGCTCCCGCTGGAGGTCGTGGCGCTTGCGAAGGCGAGGTCATGAGTTCAAGGCTAACCTGAGCAACCTTATAAGCTCAAACTGATTGGCAAAAAAAAAAAAAAGAAAAAAAAAGTTACAGATGCCAATTGTTACCTTTACTAGTCAACAAACAGTAGTTAACTTACTGTCTAGTGAACTTGGGTTAATTGCTCCAAGGACCTTGTGCTGCCATTTGAGCCTCACCTTAGGCCAATTGGAACTCTGCTCTCTGTTCTAGAAGAGTCAGAGTGAGATCCCTTCTGTTATTCCAGAAGAGCGTTTTGTTCCTCATAAAAGGCACTGAATCCAGTATTGTTTTAAAGTAAATATTTAGTCTTGCTGCACACCACTGGAAGGGTGAACATGTTTTATTGTCTGCCATCTTTCTGGCAAACCAAGCTGTGTTTGTTTTTCTAGGACAAACTCCTCAAAGCCACCTTCTCTGAGTGTTTTTATACCACTTGTGTTTGTTTTCCCTGGGAATGTGAGCATGGCGCTTGATGAGTAGGCTGTTGTGTGGCTCTGAACCAGGCTTGGAACGGCCTCCGCAGCCTGTCTTTTCATAGTTGGGCTAATGACACAAAGGCAGCCCTTTTGCTTACCAGAAAAGTGGGATCCTCTGGATCTCCAGAGCAAATATGGTTTCTTGTTAAGCTTGCAAAAACACCTTCTCAATAGCAGTCTGCATGGGGTCAGGTTTTTGTTTTTATTTTTAATTGAATAGAAAATAGGAATGTACATAACTGGAATCATGGGTGACAATCAAATGCAGAGCTGAAATCAATGGAAATCCAATCATTTACATTTAACTTTTTCATGCCTTTGCACTACAGGGATAGCAAATGCTCTTTTAGACATCCAGGCCCTGACCTGTTTCCTTTGTCAATTATGTGACTATATTGAATTGATTGGCTTTAGTTTTGCCATACTCTCCAGGGCAAACTAAAGCATATCTCTTGATTTTTAAAATGCAGAGGCACTGTCTCCATTTTTAATAGAGAGAGGAAGTGTAATCAGAGACGAACTGACTATTCCACTTAACATTTCTACTGCAAGTGGAAATGCTCCCTGCCAGCAGAGTCTAGAGATGTCATGGCCTCCACCATCCCTGTTTGATGAAGTCTAAAACAGGCCTCTCTTCACCCCTCACATCTCTCCTTACATTGAAATGTCACTGCACCTCCTCACAGTGCACAGCCAAAGCTTCTTCCCACCCTCCGACCCCACTCACCCTGCTTATCCAGTGTTCATTCCTCACTATGTACGCCAGTCATCTCTTCCTCTCAAATTTTACAGCATGATGAAATCTTACCTCTCCCAAGATCCTCCCATGCATCCTCTGCACCCCTCATCTGTCTTGTAGCTGACTGTGTTTCTACTCCCTGTCCCTGTTCTGTGTTCTCAGGTACTCTCATTCCTCTTATAGTTTTCTTGTCACTTTATCATTCCCAAACCCCTTTCTTCACCCACAAGTGTCCATGCATTCCTGTGTTTTGCAGTTCCTGAACATTTGATAGACCATTTTCACCAGTTTTGTTTCATTTAGCACTGAAAATAACCCTGATAGGAAAACAGATATTGGTACAATTTCATAGATGAAGCTGAGGCCAGTAGGATTAGGTGATTTGCTCAGTGTTATGGGCAATCAAAAGGAACTACAGAGAGACCTGAAGCCCTCTAACTCTGAATCCTGTTCCCTTCCCCTGTGCTACACTGCCTCCTGCATCTAAGTGCTTTTCTTCTCAATCCTTTAATCACTCATCCAACATACATGATCGAGTGGCTGTTTTTGTACCAGCAGTGTGGATACAGTGAGGAGCAAGATAGACATGGTGTCAGCCCTCATCAAGTGCATAGTCTGGTGATCTGTCTCATCTGCTGCCCAAATGCCTCTCACTCTTGGACATGCCATTATTCCATTTATACAAGTAGAGATTGGAGGTTAGAAGATCCTAGCTGTCAAATAGATTCTTCAGTCTATTGCTAGAAATTCCTTAGCATGACTGTTTGAAAAAGCACCCGTTCTTTATTCTTGGTTTTAATAACATTACCAGGATTCTCATTCAGTCAACTAATATATCACCTACTCTCTGTGTTGCAGGCAAAAGTTTAGTGTTGGGACACAAAGTTACCTCTTACCCTTGAAGAGAGTTGTAGAGAAAGTGGCAGTCATGAAAATGCCACATTTCTCAAGTCTTAGATATACTCTTTTATTTTTTTTGTAGTTTAACATCCCTGAAAATTGAATGCTATTTTACTTATAACTGGAAGCATTTAAAAAAATTCGTAGAAATATAAAATAATGGTACATCTTATGTCATACTCTAACAGAAGTGTACAAAAGTACGTGAAAGCCTGTGGGAAAGTGGTAACTCCCTGGAGGAACTGGGAAACCTTTCTCCGAGGAGGTAGCAGATGGGCCTTTCAGTGGCTTTTTGTTAACCAGGATTATAACAAGCAAACTGTGCCAACCATTTTGTTTTTTCATTCTACTAGCATGCTTAATATGAGCCTCTGCTGTGAGCTTAGCACTTGGTGAACAGAAGATCATCCTGCAATGTAGTAAAGAAGACAGACATACAAGAACAGTTACAAGACTGCATGTATTTTTAACGGTGATATCTCAAAGTGTAGTTGGAAGTACAGTTTGCTTGCGAGAGTGCATATGAGGGTGTCATGAAGGTATGAGCTGAGAGTGCTTTTAGACAGGTAAAAATTATTAGGCAACGAATGGGAGAAAGGTGAGAGGAAGAGCATTTCAGGTAGAGGGGAAGAGATTTTTACAAAGGTCCCAAGGTGAGAAGGAGCACCGGGTGTTTGAGCAAGTAACAGACTGGAGTGACTAGATCCCAAAGAGGGTGGGGAGTGGGATTCAAGAGGAGGCTGAAGGAGTAGCCTAGATCAAGTGGACCCACAAGATTTCCATTGTTCAGAGCCAGCACCTTCTAAGCACTCTTGCCTTGTAAGGTAATATAACTGAGGCTGTGTTTTCCCCTCCAGGCTCACCTCGTGGCAGCCTTTGAACAGAGTCTTGGTAACATGACAATCAGGCTCCAGAGTCTGACCATGACAGCTGAGCAGAAGGTAAGGCAGGAAGGGTACTTCTACATCATCACCACTGCCGCCGCCACCCCCTTGGAGTCAACAACAAACCTAAAAATTCTGTTCTTTCATTTCTGATCATTGTACGATGTTAATGTACTTCTCGAACTGTTAAAGTTTAATTGTAAGGAGTCCAGTCTGTTGAGTGAAAATATGACAGGTTGAGTGATAATGGCATCAATGATAGCTCTTGTAGTTATAACCCTACTCTTAGGTGTTTGTTCATGCCCCTTGATCCATCTGAAAGGTTTGGTTAAGCTACTTCATTCGCTCCCCTCCTGTGTTGAAGCTAAGTTATATTTCAGTTGAACTCTGTACAGAATGACTTTAGGCTGACGAATAATTCTTTCTGCTCCCTAGGATTCGGAACTGAATGAGTTAAGAAAAACCATTGAGCTGCTAAAGAAACAGAATGCAGCTGCCCAGGCTGCCATTAATGGAGTAATTAACACACCTGAGCTCAACTGCAAAGGTAAAGTGAGGGAAACAGCCTTTAGCCAGAAGACCTGCCTGCCCTTAGGAGCCTTCCCCTGCCATCATATGATGCATCCTCCCTGCTAGAGGACAGGTGTCTGCATAATTCAGCTCCATGTCAGGTGGGCAGGACCTGGAAGGCAAACACCTTAATCAAGTCACTTCTGGCCTCCATGAAGATGGCTATGGTAGTTCATCCTCTTCTCTGATATATCTGAAAAATGGAAGAAAACATGTTTCTATTGCCAGAACGTTAAAGTGTTTTACAACCCTTCATTTCACTAGCACTCTGATATTTACATGCTGATATGTGGGATAAGCTGAACTGAATTCCTTCCTTATTTGTCCAGGAAAACATTTCTTTTCTTTTCTTTTTCTGAGACAACATCTTGCTCTGTCACCCAAGCTGGAGCGTGCAGCGGTACAATCTTGGCTCACTGCAACCTCTGCTTCCAGGGTTAAAGCGATTCTCCTGCCTCAGCCTCCCAAGTAGCTGAGATTACAGGCATGCACCATCACACCCGGCTAATTTATGTATTCTTAGTGGAGACAAGGTTTCGCCATGTTGGCCAGGCTGGTCTTGAACTCTTGGCCTTAAGTGATCCACCCACCCCAGCCTCCCAAAGTGCTGGGATTACAGGCATGAGCCACTGCATCCAGCCCAGGAAAATATTTCTAAGTAAATTGCTTTGTCCTTGTGTATCTTGGGGTAATGTAGGAGTGCAGGTGAGTTAGCTCTCATAATAATAATATTGACAGTGTAGCAATCCTAGTAGTAATATGGATAGCTAGCATTTGTGGAACACTTACTGTGTTCTAAGTGCAGTGCTAAGTGTTTCAGTGTTTTAATTATTTGGTTTTCTTTCTACAACAATCTTGTGAGTGTGATTCTGTTCTTTCCTCATTGTACTGTTGAGGACACTAGGGTTCATAGATGAGAATCACTTTCTTTCTTTCTTTTTTTTTGAGATGGAATCTCACTGTGTCCCCCAGGCTGGAATGTAATGGCACAGTCTCGGCTCACTGCAACCTCCACCTCCCACGTTCCAGTGATTCTCCTGCCTCAGTCTCCTGAGTAGCTGGGACTGCAGGCACATGCCACCATGCCTGGCTAGTTTTTGTATTTTTAGTAGAAACAGTGTTTCACCATGTTGGCCAGACTGGTCTCAAACTCCTCAAGTGATCTACCTACGTTGGCCTACCAAAGTGAGCCACTGCGCCCAGCCAAGAGTCACTTTTTAAGGTCAGGGATTAGGGAGAAACTGAAGCAGGGCTAGAACCTGATGAATCCGTCTGACCCTCCAACCAGTGTTCTCAAAGATCAGTCTTTAGGTGTAGTTCTGTTCTAATGAGGAAAACTATCTGCAAACTTGATGTCAAATATCACACATTTTCCGTATCAGTATTCTTTTGTCTATTGGGACTCCTGAAAAAGTGATGATAGCTTTGAAATGGGAAGGATTTGCAAAAGAGTTGGCTGGATGGAGTGAAGGGAAAAGATCATTCAGGTAGAGGGATAGCACATGGAAAGGCCCTAGGTGAGGCAGGCATATCACTTCCAAAGGTCCGCAAGAAGGCCACTGTGGCAGGTACCCGGAGAGCAGGACAGGGAGGGGGCTAGCAATGAAGATGACGACTGCTGCAATTCACAAGCAGATTTCCACACCTATCTGAAGCTTAACAGCTGGTGTTGGGGAAATTCTCCCTACACCTCCCTTGACTTCTATTGTGTAAAGTGGGGAGAGATAGACCTCATTTAATTGACCAAAGAGGGCAATGCACCCAGCTATTCAAGAATCTTAGAAACAGCTGTAGGGAACAGAGGTGATTGTCTAAGTGGAACACACTACTAGTGGAACACAGTCTAGTAGTCCTCGGGTGGGTGGGTTTTGCTTAAGTGGCAAAATCCTGAGATAAAGAACAGGGCTCAGGTTGACAGCCACTGATACACCCTGCCTTGGTATCTAGGAAATGGCACTGCCCAGTCTGCAGACCTCCGCATCCGCAGGCAGCACTCCTCAGACAGCGTCTCCAGCATCAACAGCGCCACCAGCCACTCCAGCGTGGGCAGCAATATAGAGAGTGACTCAAAGAAGAAGAAGAGGAAGAACTGGGTGAGTGCATACCCAGACACTTTCCTGGGAACTGACAGACAGAGTCAGTTGCAGAACTGGCTGGTGCATCCCCCCAGATAAAGCCCAGCCCAGCTACTATGTGTGGAATATAGCCCTTTGGGAGTAGATCCCAGGAAATGGTTTGTGGATAGGTTTTTACTAAAATAAATATGGTGCTCAGCAAAACACTAGAATCTATAACATCACTACCACCTTGTTTTTTTTTTTCTCTTTCATGAGACTTTTCATAAAGTACTCATCTTTCATTTCATATATGTGTCATTTCTTCCTCATTATATGTTGGCCACAAAGTTTCAGGTACTAGAGCAAAGTTATTCTTAAGTGGCTTCTTCTTAGTTAGATCCAAAATATTTTTTTGAGCATATCGCTAGTTGTCCCATCTTCAGCCATAATCGTTATCTATTTATTTACATAATTGCTTAGGACAGCATCAGAGCAACTCTGTCTTTGAAAACATTTTGACCACATCCTATAAATAAAAGTTTCCTAATATCAATGTTAGAAGTTAGCAAGTAGTTCTAAACTGAGGCTTGTACCTCAAATAGCAAGTTTAATAGAATCAGTCTCCATTGCAGTGTTTCTTCATGTATTCATAATCCCAAAGAGTTATTGGAATTGTGTGCAGTGGTGTTTTCTACTTTCCTAGAAAAATTCCACCCCTCACTCTCCATCCAGTTTTTTAGCTCTGCTTTCAAGGCTGCAGAGCTCTGAGATTTGCTATCCCTTGTCTTTAGTGCAAGAATATCCCAAGTTGATCTGGAGTTGACCAGTGGCCTCTGGGCCCCATTTGTGCTGATGGCATCCTGTTTCACTAGTAGCTACAGTGTCCTCATTCATCCTGTACACTTGTCACTCATTTTGTGTTATCTTGGATGGGTGGCGAGGTCTAGTGATAGAGACGTTAGGGATTTAGTCATTTTGGTTGTCAATGACTTGCACTGGAAGCAAGCTAAAAAGCCAGTTTAGTGTGACCCTCTCATCATTCTGATTAAATTTTCTTTTTGAAGTTACTAATGGCTCTTAGTCAACTTATTTGTTATGACTAAACACAGATAGGATTAATTCATATTGCTATCTCTAATATGCAGTTGATAAACATGGTCTGCTTTGATTTTCAAAGTGACAAGAGATATTTTCTGTGAAAAATAGTGGCTATTCTATCTTCTTCAAGAAATAAAACTTGCATATGTTGCTTTAAGACAACTCCTGGTTATCAGTCAAATCAGGGAAGATGGATAATTGGCATCCTCAGCTAATCCCAAAGCTTAGCTCTGTCTGATTTGTGTAATCTCCTCTTCCACCTGGCTTTTCACCAGAGGTAGAGCCAAGGATTTCGGTTGATGGCTTGTGTCCCTAATCCTTCTGTTTCTGTGACTACTCTCTGGAAATACGATCAGAAGTAGAAAATGGGAGATAAATGGGATCTAGATTGCCTGAAAGCTGGACATGTAGTTTATTACGGATGCAACCCGTTGATGGGAGAAAAATCTCATCAATTTTTAGAATGGCCTGTTTTCTGAAGTTTTCAATGGCTAAGAAAACACCTGGAATATATTTCCACAAGGAAAAAAGACTTTAGAAAAGGGAAATTACTTTTAAAAGGCCCTTTTTCAAGATGAAACATTAGTTTTTGGCCAAGAAAAATAAGTGCTGATTATGACTTTCAGAGAAGACATTGTACTTTAATTCTTTATGTTCCTGCAATAGAGGGAAAAAGAATTTTCAGATTCATCCCATGATTTGAGGAAACTGTAACATTTGCCCCATATAGTTAATAAATTTCTTTGAAATAACCATTTTCTGAGTAACAAGTGAGATGGCTAATATGCTGCATATTAGATTATCTTCTTATATACACAAATAGCAGAAACTCCTCTAAGTGGTTAGGTTAAGCAGCCATCCAGGACAAGTATAACAGTGAATCTAGAATTGTTCAAAAAAATAAGATGTCCTCTCCACCCTCCCCAAAAAACTAAGGCACAGACAGGTGACTGACAAGAGAAAAGAAGAGAAGGAGAAGCACAGGAAGGTGGGAGGCAGCCATTTCCGCCAGGCAGGGAAAAGCTGGAAGAACTGGAATTGTAGAAGACTCGCCAGCCTGCTATTCCCTTCCTTTCAGAAAGGAGGGACATGCCCCCAGTGCTTTTAAAGATTTATGCTCCTACTGGAAACCTCCCCTGTGTGTGGTGTTTATTATTAGCCATGTTGTGTCTGAAAGTCCGAAGCTTTCCCTGTCACTGGCTTTCTCTGTTAAAAAATTGTCTTTTTTCCTCCCCCTTCCCCATTTTTGCTTGCGTTTTCTCTGGCAGGTCAATGAGGTAAGCAAGACCAACTTTAATATCAGATACCAAGCTAACCCATCCATTGATATAACTAACCCCATCCGCATCCGTCACCATGTCTGAGCATCCTGCTTTGTTGCTGTGTAACCTCATCTTCCTAGCATCCATCTGCTGAGCCAGGCTCTGTCTTGCTGTTGGCATCTAGTCTTGAACCAAGAGTAGGCATGGAATGTTACCCACAGGTGCAGTCCCTCAAGCTGGCAACACCAGATAACTCTTCTTCCCTTAATGCACTGATTCAAAAGAGCTCTTGGGAACCTTTTCCATTGGTGGGGGGAAACATGAGAGAATTAATCGCTTTTTTGTGTGCATGTCCCTGTTTTGCCAAGGCCTAAGCATCGGTTGCCCCGGCTGCGAAGCTGACAGTCTTGTATATTCAGTTACGCAGCTCCTTCAAGCAAGCTTTCGGGAAGAAGAAGTCCCCCAAATCTGCGTCCTCTCATTCAGACATTGAGGAGATGACGGATTCTTCTCTGCCTTCCTCACCAAAGTTACCACACAATGGGTCCACAGGTTCCACCCCACTGCTGAGGAATTCCCACTCCAACTCTCTGTAAGTCTGTCTGTCTAGTCAGATGACATCTTTGGCCCCTGAGAACCCTCTCCAATAGGAATATCTAGGAGACCTGTTATGCTTTGCTTTAGTAGGACTGGGCATGTTCTTTCAATGCTTTAGGACTGGGAAAGCTGAAAGAGAAAGGAAACTTAGGTTTTTGTTTGGTGGTATCAGTGTCCACAGCTAGCAGGTTGCTTTACTTCTCCTTGTTTCCATACCTTTACATGTCAGTTTGGGTAATGGTGGTTGTGTACTTACCCTAGTCCTAAGAACTGAACAAGATAAATTGATATAAAGGAGCTTGCTTCCTGCAGCAGTAAGAAAGTCTGGCCCTCCCCAGTAGGGCTGAATTTCTTTTGAGACCATGGTATACCAGGTCAAGAATGAAAGAACTGGAGTAGACTTCAAGGAAAGTTATCAGTGAGATGAGACAGTGCCTGGGAGAAGAGGGAAGTCATGGCCAGGGTCAGAACAGCCACTGAGACAGGGTTAGAGAAAGAAGTTTCGTTGTTTAAACTTCAGTTTCCTCACTAGTAAAAATGGGGTTCATTGTATCTACTTCACTGGATTCTTGGGAGGGCCAGGTTAAATACTATGCATGAAGGGCCTTTTCCTTCCGGTTCATCTTTCTTCATTCTCATTGGAGCAGGTCTGTGGAGCTGACTCTAAGTCCACTTAGTCAGCCAGCCCACTGAAGGCAGCGTAAGTGTCGTAAGGCCTTACCTTAGCGGCTTACCAGATGAGTAGAGGGAGAACAAGCAAAATCAGCCTGTTCAGAGGCCAGGTCTTTGTAGCGCACCAACTGCATGGAAGAGAGGAAACAGAGGATAGTAGGGTTATGACTTTTAAGCAACCGCACCCACTATTGAAACATGGCACTGTCAGGGTCTCCATTTCACTGAGTTCGAAGATCAGTTCCTCTTTTCTTGGGGAGCACCCTAATAAGAGGGTGGCTACAGGGATATGTACTTCCTGTTGTTACGGGTGAGGGTAAAACTCTGAATGGGGGAAGGAGGAAGAGCACTGAGGGACTGGACTTTGGTGTGCCCCTGTGGTGCCCAGCCCAGTGCCCTGTGATATTCTGAGTGAAGAACTAGACACATGACTGAGAGTCCTCTTTTATCTGCAGAGTACCTAAGGAAGGAGTAAAGAACAAATTGCCTTTGACTCTCACACATGCCATCATCCCAAAACATCCCAACTCAGTTGTCTCCTGACCAGGAGAAAAAGGAACTCATCATCTCTTCTTTATTTACTGATTTAATTTTTTTATATAGCAACCTGTTTGAGCAGAGCACTATTCCAGATGGTATAAAGAAACCAAAAAGATGTTAACCAAGCCAGGTGCAGTTACTGATGCCTGTAATCTCAGCACTTTGGGAGGCTAAGGAGGGAGGATTGCTTGAGGCCAAGAGTTGGCAACCAGCCTGGTCAACATAGTAAGACTCTGTCTCTACCAAAAAAAAAAAAAATGTTTTTATAATTAGTCAGACATGGTGTCAAATATTTGTAGTCCCAGCTACTTGGGAGGTCAAGGTACGAGGGTCCTTTGAGGTCAGGAATTTGAGGCTTCAGTGAGCTGTGATCACATTATACTCCAGTCTGGGTGATAGTGTGAGGCTATGTCTCTATTTAAAAAAAAAAAAGGCCAGGCATAGTGGCATATGCCTGTAATCCCAGCTACTTGGAAGGCTAAAGCAGGACAGTCACTTGAACCCAGGAGGTGGAGGTTGCAGGGAGCTGAGATCACACCATTGCACTCCAGCCTGGGCAACAAGAGCAAACTCCATCTCAACAAAAAAAAGTCTGGGTGCAGTGGCTCACGCCTGTAATCCCAACACTTTGGGAGGCCAAGGTGGGTGGATCACGAGGTCAGGAGTTCAAGATCAGCCTGGCCAAGATGATGAAACCGCTTCTCTACTAAAAATACAAAAATTAACCAGGGGTGGTGGTGGGCACCTATAATCCCAGCTACTTGGGAGGCTGAGGCAGAGAATTGCTTGAACCCGGAAGGTGGAGATTGCAATGAGCCGAGATTGTGCCGCTGCACTCCAGCCTGGGCAACAGAGCGAGACTTCATCTCAAAAAAAAAAAAAGAAGTTAAACAGATTCCCCACCTCTGATAAGGCTAAAGACTAGTGGAGGCATGACATAGTATAGTTCATTCTACTCCTGAATTTTCATTCTGAAGACCCCATTCTCAGTTGTAGTTACGATAGAGTACAAGACAAAGCTCCTACTCATAGACCCTGTATACCAAGAGAGGAGATGAATGTTAAACAAATAAACCCTGAATAAACTAGGAAAATCAGAGAGTGCTAAGGGCTAATGCTGTGAATTAAAACAGTGCTGAGAGACAGAGACCCTTGGCAGCAACTTCAGATGGGGTGGTCAGGAAACACCCCTCTGAGTAGGTGACATTTCAGCTGAGATCTGCATGCCAGGGGGAACCACTGGGTTAGTTTCAGTCAATAACATTAGCTGCTGTAACAAACTCAGCCCAATGCCCGGCAGCTTTACATATGACTGTTTATTTCTTGCTCACTCCAATCCCAATACAGATAGTCCTAGTCAGCAGGTGGCCTGCCCTCTAGTGATGTAGGCACTAAGGCTCCCACCATCCACAGGGCCCAATTCTCTGCTCAGTGCTCTGTGTCCAGCCAGTGGGCGTGGATGTGAGGAGTGCAGAGGAACCTGCAGAAGGGTTTTTAAGCACCAGGCCCAGAATAGGTTTACGTCACCTCTTCCCGCAGTCCACTGAGCAGGACTCAAAGCTATACCACCTGCAGGGGAAGAAGTAAAGGAGGAAATGGGCTTTGGTGAACACATAGCAGCCTCTGCCACCCCAGCCTCCCAATGAGCAGGGCAGTCTTCCCAACCCAAGAAATAAATAACACAAGGTGCCTAATGTGGAAACAGGTTTGATGTGTCTGAGAGAGAGAGGGAAGGACAGCATGACTTCCCACATGTGCAAAGAGCCACAGACATAGTCAGGGCCTAGAACATGCAAGGCTTTGAAGTGAATTTGCATTCAATTTCATATATAATGGGTGGCTGTGGTGGATGTTTGAAACAGAAATAGGCGATAATCTGAATTTACAAAGATCAGTCTCTGTTCCATATGTTAGGAATATGGGGAAGGGAGATCACCTAGGGGATCTTAGTCACTCTGGTCCACTTGTTCTTTGAACATTCCAATCACACTCTCCACCTCAAAGCCTTTGCCCTTCCTGTGGCCTCTGCCTGGTATACTCTTCCATCAGATATTGATTTCCTTAGGTCTCTGCTCAATATGACCTAATGAATAAGGCCTTGCCCATTCACTTGTATAAACCAACATTCCACCACCAGCCAGCGCTCCCCATGGTCCCTTGCCCTGCTTCATTTTTTTCCCCATTGTACATGTTGCCCCCTGACACCTGACATATAGGTTTTCCTTGATTGTTCTCTGCCCCCCCCCGCCCCGCCAGATCTATAGTAGAAGCTCCTTGGAGGTAGGTGCTCTGTTGGTTTTGCAGGCGCTCAAATATTTGGTGGAATGAATGAGTGAGTGATGACAATGGTGAGTCCTGGATGGATTTAGAATATCCTCTTGAGGAAAAGTTGCCAGTGTATGGTGATGGGTCAGATATGAGTACAAGGGAAAGAAAAGAGCCATCCTTGGATATTCCTAGATTTACAACTTGAGTACCTGGGATGAGTGGGAGACAGATGGAGGCAGAGTGCGGAGTCGGAGCACTGCCTTGGTCACATTAAATTTGAGATGCCCAGCAGACATCCATATCCAGGTCGACCAGCCTGGACTTCTTAGAGGTATAGATGTGGGAGACACAGACTTATTGGTGATGTCGAAAGCTGGATACCTGGAAAAGCTCTCCAAGGGGCTGAATGAATATGAAGATGATCAGAGGGCAAGGACTGAGCTCTAGTGCACTCTGATATTTGAAGTTCAGAAAGAGGAGTTACAGCAGCTGGCCAACAAGGTGGGAGGAAACCCAGGAGCAGAGAGGAGAAACTGTTGTGGGGGAAGGAATAGGAATGGGGCCAGATGCTGCTGGGTGGCTGAGTAAGATGAGCAAACAGAGGCGGTGATGCACTCAGCTGTGCAGGACCATGGCAGAACTATCCTCCAAGCTACTTTCCCCAGAGGAATCGGGCGAGGCTGACTTCTGGCTCCCCAGCCCTTTTCTTACATTCCACAGCATCCCTGCACACTGGAGATGTTTGTTTTTGGTCTCGTTTTCCAGAGGGTAGGCTGAGAGCAAATGCTTATTTCCAACCTTGAAAGGTTTGTAAGAATGTGCAAATCTAGATGTGAGAGGGAGTTCAAAGACAAAACCAAAGGCAGAGGAGTTGGACTTAGAAAATTCCCCACTCCGTGGGCGAAAGGAATGGTAGTTGTGGGAAGGCAACATTTTCCCACACTCGAGGCATTTTAAAATTAGGTATGCCACCAGCCCTGACTGTGGACAAGGCATCGGAAAAATGCTTGGATGACAGTTAAGGGACTGAGTAGGAAAAAACACACATCAGCTTGCTCCAGTAAGCAGTTCATGAAGTAGGCAAGCATGTATTGAGCACCTAGTGAGTATAGTTCAGGAGCACAGGCTCTAGAGCTAAGCAGACCTACCAGGTTAGATCCTGCCTCTATCATTTTTAAATAGTGCAGTCTTGGGCTCGTTTGTCTCCATGCCTCTGCATCTCCATTTTAAAACTGGAGATAATGACAATACCTCTTCATGGAGTGAGTAATGTACAAGGGAAATGGAATAATATACTTCACATGCCTAGCCCAGTTCTTTAGGTATTCCATAAGCATTTGTTAGGTAACAATTATGTGTTTGTCAATGTGATCAGACACCAGAAATGATGCAGAGAATAACCCTGGTCCCCAAGGAGCCAGCAGCGAAGCAGAGGGTTACATGTTAAGTGAAATGAAATTGTTGGCAATATAGCATAAGTCCAGTCAGGGAAGGAACTAGAGGAGAAGACTCTGTCTTGGGCAGCAGGATTAGGAACTGAAGCTTAGTTAAGGCTGCTGTGAAAGAATGTGTTTTCAGCATCATCTCTGTTATAGGGCATCTCTCTCATGAGGCCTCACCATTCTGTGTTTCTGAGGGCTGGCTGATTCTGGAGGAGCATAGGGAGGACAAGGCCTTCCCAACACAGACTGTCTTCATTTCAGTTTGCTACTCACTGTAAGGTCATTGTATTGGCCAAGCTCTGCAAAATAACCAATGCGATACGTTCCACAAAGTGAGTGCCAAAAAGGTATTTTCTCTCTTGCTGAGAGCTTTCTGGGAAAAAGATGCAGACCATGTGGAGATGACTTGAGCAAAGTGCCTTGTCATGGAGTGCTGGACAGATCAGTCTCACACGGTGTGAACTGGAACAGACTGTTCTCTGCAGCAAATCTGAGCCCTCAAGATCCAGGTAGCGTGTGATTTGGCTAAGACGGGAGTATCACAGTAGAATTTTGTTCAGACTTGACACTCCATTTAAACCAAGAAACCATTGTCTTCTCAAGATAGAACCAGTTTTTGCAAGCTCCTCCTGCAAACATCTCAAACCAAAAAAAAAAAAAAAAGAAAAGAAAAGAGAAAGAGCATGGTCTGTCAGTAAATCTCACAAACCACAGGCTATTCAAAGTACAGAGAGCTGAGAAAGAAGGGAAGATGCAAATTCTAAAGACATTTCTCTCTTGCCCTTTTGGTCCCAAATCTATTGGCTTCAGTCTCTCAAAAGTGTGAAATGGAAATAATTAGATCATTTTCAGGAGTTCTTTGGCTTTTTCAAGATTTTGAAGCTAAGAATCTTCCTTGGTGACTGATAACTTTTAAAAACAGAAGGTGGTTTTGCTGTATCTCTCAAATCAAAACAGTTCATGTTCAGGCCAAGAAAAGAGCAACAGAAACATTTGGCTATTCACATGTTAAATTTTTCTTCACTTTTGTCTGCCCCCAAAACACAATTTCATCTCTTTTAACAACTTTATAAATCATTTTCCTTTGGCAATTAAAATTTCCACACCCACACCCAGTTTTGCAGGTCAGGTTTTGTTTGGCCCCAAACCCATCTCTTGGCTCTTGAAGAGCAGACTCATGTGATCATCTATTTCTGCAGAGACCACATGCTCATCATCTCCTTCAGACATAATCGGCTTCAGCTTTGTAACTTTATGAACTTGAGAATCGGGGTGTTTGGGGGTTGTTTTTCTGTCTTTGGTCCAAGAAATATCAAAGCTTTCTATTCTGGATCACCCAGTAACCCAGATCCTGAGATCTTGGAAACTCACAGAACTTTTTTTTGAAAGAAGACTATCTTAACATTGCAAGTCATCACAACCTTTATGATCTTCTACTTTGTGCTGACATGCCAGGTATTTGAAGAGCAAACCTAAGTAATTAAGTAAGGAGCCTAGCCTAGAAGAACCGCCTCTTCAGAAAGAGGAACTCAACAGTGTCCCGTGGTGACCTTGATCCGTTGTGCAGCAGAGAAAGGAAGACAATCAGCTAGGCTGTTGCAGAGTTTCCAGATACAACCTTGGCTTGCGTGTCACACCATTCTGTCTCTAACTCCCGGAAGAGGTTTCTCTTCTTGCCATGAGTGTGTTAAGCAGTGTGGGGGCTGGGGAACTAAAGAAGGTTGATCTCTCTAGACACTTCTAGGGAAGTGAGTTTTCACAATGTGATCAGGAACAGATTAACTCCTTCCACGCATATCTTTAGGTTTCATCCCCATTTTGACAAATGAAAATCACCCCTCAGTTGTTTAGCAAAGGAGTTTCTAATCTTTAAAACAGACGGCTGACCCTGCTTCTCTGAGTGGGTTTGGAACTCAAAGGCATGTGGTGTCAGGGAAGCGCAGCTGTGTACACACAGCCGGGGAGGAGGTTATCAGACTGGAAGGCTGCTACTCCCTTTTGCCAGCTCCTGTTTATCCCTATATTATTGGAATTTTGCTGAATGGCACACCAAAGCCATTCTGATTGCCAGATCTTGGCAAAGAAAGAATGTTGAGAAGGAATAAAAGCTATTTTCAGGCGCTTTTGGTATTATCACCTCCAGGAAGCACCAGGCAGCTGATTATACGTAGTTACTGCTAAACAAACCTGATGATTGACATGGACCAGTGGTCAGTAGGGGACTAAAAGGAGCTGCTTTCATCAGTAACATTCCTCTTTCCCTAGGATTTCGGAATGCATGGATAGTGAAGCTGAGACTGTCATGCAGCTCCGAAATGAGTTGAGAGACAAGGAGATGAAGCTGACGGACATCCGCTTAGAAGCTCTCAGTTCTGCCCACCAGCTGGACCAGCTCCGGGAGGCCATGAACAGGATGCAGGTGAGAGCCCAGGAGCATGGGCTGAGTCCAGGGCTCTCTAAGAAGGAGCTCCCAGAGGCTGCTCTCCACTAAGCCCTGAGGGCTGCATCAGAATCTGGTGGCAGCTCTCGCTTTCCCAGTCTCTCTCTTTTCAGTCCTTCCCACACATTGCTCAAAGACCAGTCTTTTGAAAGAATAAGGGTACCCATGCCCTTCCTTTGCGTAAGACTGGTGCCTGTGGCATGTGGCACAGTCTTCTTCACCTGGCCTTCGAGGCCTTCTGCACTGTTAATTCACAGTTAATTCACACCACCCTCCCCAGCTCCTCTTCCTAGAATCTACTCACCGGCCACATAGAGTCGCTGACTACCCCATGTGCTTCTGTTCGACTCATGGCATAGAGGAGCTCATTAAAGGTTCTGAGACGTCTGTAAAAGCCCGAGTTGCACAAACCTCTTAGATCATAAGACTGTTCCACTTAACCCTCAAGCAGCAGACTCTGGGAAGCATTTCAGAGGTCTTTTCAAAGGCCTGTTCTCTGAATGGATGGACCTCCCCCACCCGCATGCCTTGTGTCTACAGCAGGGGCAGCAAACACTGCTGAATCTGTCTGAGGGTGTTGTTTGCCTTGGGTGGGAGACCAACCTGGTTCCTGCAGGGAACTTTCAGATCCTTCCTTCAGAAAAATCTTGTTCATATTCCTTCTGCCTACTAAGTAAGCTTCTCCATTACTCCTCGCAGAGTGAAATAGAGAAGCTGAAAGCTGAGAATGACCGGCTGAAGTCAGAGTCTCAAGGCAGTGGCTGCAGCCGGGCTCCTTCCCAAGTGTCCATCTCTGCCTCTCCGAGGCAGTCCATGGGCCTCTCCCAGCACAGCTTGAACCTCACTGAATCCACCAGCCTGGGTAAGTGGCTCACAGGGTTTGGGGGCAGGATTGGACCTACAGCTGGCATCCTGATCTCTAAGCGAGAGCCCCAAAATAAGCAGATCAACAGGTCAAATGGAGAGGCAACAGGTGTGTGTGCACTTGGGGTGTGTATGTGTCTGGGTGTGAGTCTGCTACCAACATGAGCCCAGCCGTTAGACTGCTCTCATGCTTTGCTCCAGTGCCCCAAACTCTCCAAGCCCTGAGCTTGGATCCCTTGCCCACCATGCTAAGTTCTGTTTGATCCATTTTAAAAGGCTTACCTGCAAGCTGAATGCTGCACACAAACCCCATAGTAGCAGGTCCCAGTGGGGGCAAAGGCTTGGTCTATAATCTTCCTACCTTCAGGATGGATTCCAGGCTGCTGCAACCATCAGTGAACATGATCTAGGTTTTCTTTGTAAGCATATTGAGGCTGATGCTTTTATTTTTTATCCATGATGCTGCTGTTGCTGTTGTTTTGAGTCTCTCCCTCACACTTCCATCTGGCAAGGTGCATTATCAGCCTGCTGGTTCCTTGGTTGGTCCACCATTGGTTTCTGTGATTGCATTCTCCATTTTGCCCTCTCCTCTTCCCCTACCCCCAACCCCCTGCACCTGACACCTGCTTGTCCCGCTGCTGTGCCACCCAGCAGTGGGGGTGTCAGGAAGCTGGCTTTGCTGTCCCCATGTGCCTAAGGCTGTTGATGTTTTCCATTCGCAGACATGTTGCTGGATGACACTGGTGAATGCTCGGCTCGGAAGGAAGGAGGCAGGCATGTTAAGATAGTTGTCAGCTTTCAGGAGGAAATGAAGTGGAAGGAGGTTAGTTGGATCCCTTTCCCTGCTCTGCCTGTCCCTCTCCCAGGTAGAACTCCCTAGCTTAGTGATCTAATCATAAAACCTGTATCACCTCAGAGCCTAAGGTGATTTGGAAATACTACTAATGCTTCTCTTAACTAATCATAATCCCTTGCAGCATTTTGACACAAGTAGTGTGTGAATGGCATTTCCCTTTCTTGTGTGTTTGAAAGTCTAATAAAGAGCACTAAAAATGGTCCCACATTTCACTTTCATGTAATTAACTAAACGCTAACATCCACCAGAAAGGGGTTTTCTGAATGTAATATACTCCCAAACCACTTCAGAGGCAGCTATGCACATTTAGCATGTAAGGTCAGAAATAAGCTGTAACATGTAGCAGACCAAGAGCACCAGTTTTATCAGTCATCAGTCACTAAGAGTAGACAGCTTGGTACACCCAAGAAGAGATGGAGGTGCCAAGCCCTGGGAGCATGCAGGTGGCTGAAGATAGAGCTGGTGGGGCATCCTGACTCACCAAGCCTGGGAATCTTGAGTTTTCCTAGAATGGTTTCTGTTCACTTCCAAACTCTGGAAACTTCCAGAGTCTACACCACTGCCAGAGACTATTTTTGGGGGGGGGTGGTGGGGGTGGGGCTAGAGTTGACATTGACAGTTGAATTTTACTGAGTGATTAAAACTCAGTGATGTTTTGAATGACTATCTCTCCAATAAATGGGAAAAGACCTCATGAGTCACCATTTCAAGTTCGCTTGGGTTTTTTGTTTGTTGTTTCTTAGTATTTCTAGCTAACATGCTATTGTAGTTTCAGACCGCTAGGGAACCCATAGAACAAAGCGTCTGTAGCCAGACCTTTCGTAGCCGGGGGATTCTGCTTTGTGGCTGGCTTGCTAGCCTCACTATAGGGGGTAAGCTCAGGATTTTGGCACTTCCATTAGCATCATCTAGCCTTGAAATATACAATAAACAGCTCTATTTTCAAAACATAGCTAGTAGAGTTATGGACTATCGGGAAACTCATTCTTACAGTAAATGCGGGTTACACCTTGTGGACTAGTTATTCTAGTGATCATCAGTATGAACTGGTAGAGCATACATTTTATAAAAGCTAACAAGTCACCTTCAGAAGTTTATATTATTCTGGGTCACTACAGCATCCGTGAGGTTAGTTGACCAGAGGTTGTCATCCTTATTATACAATTGAGAAACCTAAGACCCCAAGCATTACTTATTTGAGGCCAGGGGTAAGTGGTGGGGTTAGATCATGTAACTGCAAGATTGGTGCTCTTTTCTCTGCTGATTTTGCTTAGCTACCATATGTCACCCTCCCACCCACTCTCCTGACTCTATATCCTTATGAGCATGTAAGGTATTTAAAACCCAATAGAATGGCATGTTCTATCAGCCTTTATCAGTGTGACGTGATTAGCTGCCACTATTCATAGCCCTGTGAACAGAGACGCAAAAAGAATTAGGAAAAGATTGTTTTGAGAGTATTCTTCCCAGAGTTTTACAAGTTTTCTGAGTTGCACATGTTTTAAGTTTTAACAAGAAGAAAAACAGTAAATGTTATTTAAAAACAAGAAAGAAGAAAGTAACACCTACTGTCCTGATAGTGTTTAAGATCTAGTAAGGAGATAAACTTGAAATGCAAAAATAAGACAGCAATACCTAAAACTAATGTAAGTAAGTACAGAATATATCATTATATAAGTTATGTGCAGAATCGCTGAAGCAATTTAAACTCTGAGCCTGATGAGGTTAATCCCTGAAGGCTTCCTGGAAGAGGTGAGTTTGTAAGCAAGGTTTGAAAAGAGAGAGGTGGCAGACAGGTGTGGAGAGAGTTCCAGACAAGGAATATGTGATTTATGAACTGTCTGATGCATTTACATAGCAAAAGGTTCCATATTCCAGAGAGGAAATCCTCTTTTTTTTTTGACTCTTGAACTGCTGTTTTAACAGTAAAGCAGGGAAAGGTATTGTTGAGACTATTACTTCCACCTAAGTTATACTTGGTATTAATACAAATAGGACTTTTATTCCCCTCTCAAATCATTGGCGGAGTTCTAAGGCAACCTGAGCCCTCTGCTGAACTGAATCAGAAAAGACCCATCTGTTTTTCACCTGTGTACATTTCCTTACCCTTAGGATTCCAGACCACACCTCTTTCTTATTGGCTGCATTGGAGTTAGTGGCAAGACGAAGTGGGATGTGCTCGATGGGGTGGTTAGACGGCTGTTCAAAGTAAGTGTTTCAAGATGGTGGCTACAGCAAAATACTGAACATGGGCAGCTGGGCCTGGGGAGGCACAGAGAGGTTGATGTCCCGAGCTTGGCCATTTCTCAGACCTGTTCCCTTCTTTACATCTTTATGTTGATGAAACTTGTTCCCTGGTCCTCAAGGGGATGGAAGGACAATGGTAAGTACACACTGGTGATCAGCCAAATTCTTTCCATCTGCCCTTTGCAGTGGTGGGCCAGCTAGTGAGAGTTATTTGAGTAACTCTTTGATCCTCTCACAGTGAACTTCTAATGTCCAGCTCTCTTTTCGCCTTAGAATTGTGTCCTATGACATAATGTTTTGGAGTATGTAATCTGTGGCTAGGGCTTAGATATCAGATTTCTATCCTTCATTTCAGGGATTTGATCTGTGCCAACACTTCAGAGTCTCTGATTTGTGTTACAAGTGACATTAATTTCTGATCGATGGCCAGGCTCAAGGATGTTGCCATACCTATTTCTCTATTCTTTCTAATCACATCATTAGATTGGGTGTTTGTCACAGGATAAATAACTAATGAGTACCAAGGTGAACCTTGAAACACAAGGTGATTTGAAAGAAGCTTTTGGTACATTTTTTCTATGGTCATGAAGTAAGTAAACAACTATAAATGCTCATTAATCATATTTCCTGAGTAGTAGTAATAGCCCTTTTTTTTTTTCTTTTTTTGAGACAGTCTTGCTCTGTCACCCAGGCTAGAGTGCAGTGGAAGAACCTTAGCTCACTGCAAGTCCGCCTCCCAGGTTCAAGCAATTCTCCTGCCTCAGCCTCCCGAATAGCTGGGATTGCAGGCACCTGCCATGGCACTGCCACTGCACCTGGCTAATTTTTGTATTATTAGTAGAGACTGGCTTTCACTGTCTTAGCCAGGCTGGTCTCGAACTTCTGACCTCACGATCCACCTGCCTCAGCCTCCCGAAGTGCTGGGATTACAGGCATGAGCCACCGAGCCTGGCCAATAGCCCACATTTTTTATACCAGAGATTATGCCAAGCCCCTTATTTTCCCATTTAAAGATGAAGAAAGTGAGGCGCAGGTTAGGTACTTGTTCAAGGTCATGGATGTAGAATTAGACCACATTGATCTGTGGTCTGACTTGAAAACCACTTAACTATTAGGTTGGTGCAAAAGTAATTGCACTTTTTGCCATTAAAACCCAGTGCTGCTTTGAATGCTTATCTCCTGAATAAATGGAAAAAGACCTCATGGGTCACCTCATGAGTCATTTAAAGTAATGGCAAAAAACCGCAATTACTTTTGCACCAACCTAATAGTACACGGTAGTTTCTTTCTAACAGCTAGATCCAGGTAGTCTCATACAGAGAAAATTCTGTTTTTTGACTGGAGACTGTTCCCCATCCTGGCAAGCCAGACTGTAGAAATGAGACCAGAAAAGACATATGAATGCTTTACACTGGACCAATTCTCCTACCTAGGCCAAAAACTTACCTGTGCTGATGGGCATTTGGGACATTTTTGGATTAGAATAGCAGTTTGGGCTGAAAAGAGGCACACTGGCATCACAGTAAGTGAGGAAATGAGACCATACAAGGCCTGTTGCTGGGATTCCACCTAAGTCATCGTGCAGTCACCTCCTGTACATGAACCTTAGTTCTACATTTACTAGCCTAAAACCTTTTGTTCACTCAGCCAAGAGGAAACACTTTCCAAATTAAACACACATTTTCCTTCTTAAAGATCTAGAGCTGATTTTTTTTCTAGCAGCCTGCATTTTAATCTCTTTGTATGATCTTTGAGCCAAAAGAAGAGGATGGAAGAGAGATTTTCTGTCAAAATTACTTTTTCGTGAATTTTCCAGCACCATTCACAAGCCTTGATGTCTTCAAGACTTCAGTGAAACTTAGGAAAAGCAGCCTAGCTTTTCCGTGCTTGTTCATCCAGACTAAATGTACACAATCTTGTTAGAGTGTTTTTTTTTTCCATTCCTAACCAAATAAATCTGTATTTTAAGAGGCCTGTGGTACTAGGGCATTACCCCCATAGAAAAATCAGTCCTCCCCCTCATCCCACAGCTCAGTTTCAACTCAGACATCTGAGAAAGAAGAGAATATGATCATAAATCACCCAATGAAAACATGAGTCATGGGCAGATTTTAGCCACATCTTTGATGGGGTCTTTATTTTTTATTTTTTCCAGGAATACATTATTCATGTCGACCCAGTGAGTCAGCTAGGGCTGAATTCAGACAGTGTTCTTGGTTACAGCATTGGAGAAGTCAAGCGTAGCAACACTTCCGAAACACCGGAGCTGCTTCCTTGTGGCTATCTGGTTGGAGAGAACACAACCATCACGGTGACTGTCAAAGGTAATTGAGCTGGTTGCAGAGTTTCAGGAATTGCCATTTTCGTTTTGTGACTTGGCATAGGCACTTGTGGCCACAGTTTTGTTCGTGCACGTTTGCAGGCCGCTTTTCTCCTTTACACCACAGTTAGTCTCACCTACGCAAGTTGAACAGTCTTTTGCTTTTCAACCACCTTAGGAAACAAAATAATTTTAGTTTACTGCTGCAGTTATCTAACAAAAGAACCCATTAGCCTTATGACTCTGAGATGATGGAATCTTTACAATGCTGTTGAAATAGGGCTTTACTGATACTGATGAATTACTTTTGCCAGCAAGCTTTGGACACGGTCCCATTCTACAGATGGGAAAACCACGACTTGCTGTAGGCTACAGGAGTCACTCTAAGCATCCTGATAAAATTGCTGAAGCTCATGCCCACGCAGGATGCTGCTAGAGCTTCCGGTTTCTCATTACCTAGCAGTATTAAGCCCCAGGTCAGTGCATTCCTTGGAACTCTAGGCCCATGAAGTTCACTGTGGTTAAAAAAAAAAAAAAGAAATAAAAAGGCTTCACAGTCAAGCAATTCTGGGAAACTACATAATTATCCCCACTTGTGTTTCGGTGGACAAGAGTGCACTGGTACATCAAAGCCTCTGTCATTCAATGTCCTAACTCCTGCTGGTAAAAAGGCTGTTTAATCCAATCTGTCCCAAATTTATTTGATTGTAAAACCCCACCATTTTCTTTCTGTATGTTATGGACCACCTGAATATAAACTTTCATCAGTACTGTACTAGGCTCAGTCTTTGTGCTATTCCGTTTCTTTCTTCCCTGAAAGGCACTGCTCCTGGCTGCAGTTTTGCAGTCGTTTGATGCAAGGTGTATTTCCTGGATGGTAGAGTTTCCACAAGCACCCCACCATTTTCCATCAACAGGAGTTAAGATCTTGCTCTGCAGGTGGCAAGTGGTACATACTGCTTGAGCCTCACACAGCCTTCTCCTGGCAAGTGAAATTCCACAATTGTGCACTTGGACTATAAATGACAGAAACCGACTCAAAAGTAGCTACAGCAAAAAAGGAAATGTACGTGCTCCTGGCCCTGAGCAATTCAGGAGTGCACTTCAAGCATAGCTGGATCCAGGTGCTTAGACAGTGAATCAGGACCAGGCCTGCCTCAGCTTTGCCCGTCATGGGCTGTGCTTATTTAATGAGCCCTTTGAACATGGTTGATGAAATGGCCCCTGGTAGCCCAATTCCTTCCTCTAGCTTAGGAACCTGAAGGAAAGACGTGTTTTTGGTAAAATGTAACAGAAAACTCCTAGGGATGACTCTGGCCCACTATAAGTCAAATGCCCATTGTGGAATTGGTCCTTACAACCAGGGAGAGGATTTTTCCTAGCCTGGCCACAAGCCCATCCCTTTGGGTGGATGGAGGAGCCAGATTGGTTCCACTTGAACCACCAGGAATGAGCTCCCATGAGAAAGAAGACCTACACCATGAGGGGAAGTAGGAAGGGGCACCAGGCACGCTGGAACAATCATCCTCGGCAAGATCTCTTTAAGGAGAGCCTTTTCCGTCCTGGGTTCAAATTGCATTTCATCCCTCCTGCCAAGCATGCATTGTTCACTTGCTGGTTTTACAGGTGAGCATTGCAAAGCACTGAGGGGTAAAAGGAATGGCCTATTGCTGAGACCAGACCAACCTTTCTAGAACGTGACAAGATTACCTACCCCTAGTGGAGCACGTCACCCCTCTGCACGGCCTGATCCGTCAGCACATCAAGTTTTAGCACCTCGAGGGATCAGCTTGGGTTTTTCGGTGATACCTGACTCCTCTCTCTCTTTCCTACAGTACTTAAAACTTATGCCTTCAAGGCATTAAAACCACTCGAGGATTTGAGCTGAAAGAGTTGCCTGAGCCTCAGTGATTCACTCAGTGGAACCAGGGGAAGGGGGTTTGACTTTGCATTTCCTGAAGTGAGCTCATCAGCAAAATAGTCACTCCCTGTGGGGTTTATGGCAGAAGACTGAAACAGAGCACTGTATGTTCAGAGGGGCATTCTAGGGGGTTTTTCTTATATTATTATTATTATTATTATTATTATTATTATTATCAGGTTTAGACTAGAGACCCTACACTTCATACTTTGTGTCGAGGTTTGAGCAAGTATACGCTACATTGAGCTCAGTAGAAGGAAACTCTTAGGCTTGTCCCTGGTAGACAAGGCATCTGAGGGCCTTTGTCCCATTCATTCTGAAGGAATCACTGCATTAGGGGTTACTTGATTAGGGGAAGTCTAGAAACAAACATAATGCATTTGGGGGGATTTGCTAGCAGTGAATATGTGGAAGGAAGATGCTATTTTTTTTTAAAGTGAAGTTTCTTTGACTCTTTTTCCCTGGGCTGGAGTGCGATAGCACAATCTTGGCTCACTGCACCTCTGCCTCCCGGGTTCAAGTGATTCTTGTGCCTCAGCCTCCCGAGTAGCTGGGATTACGGGCACACACCACCATGCCCGGCTACTTTCGTATTTTTAGTAGAGACGGGGTTTCACCATGTTGGCCAGGCTGGTCTCAAACTCCTGACCGCAGGTGATCCACCTGCCTCGGCCTCCCAAAGTGCTGGGATTACAGGTGTGAGCCATCATGCTGGCCCGGAACGCTATTATAAAACAGTAAATACTCTTCAGTTGACTTTTTATTAATGCTGCTGGTTTCTTGAGAGTAGTTTTTAAACAACAACCTGAGGTTCTGGACAGCTAACCTTGGATGGATCTTCTCTTAAGACAGTATCCAAAATATACCTCTTGTGAAGCCAACAGTCCTGACTGATGACATTGTCCCAGGTAGGAAAGGGGAAGGATAAGTTTCCACTTGATGTTGCTGAGGACCAAGAGTCCCAGTTCACAGCATTTCAGGCCAGATCTGCCAGTATTCACATTCCAGAATCCAGTGATCTAGCCTTGCATTTCCCTCCTTTTAAAGATAAAAGTACTGCTGCTTTCATGGCACATCTTAGTGTGGATAACAGTGGTACCTGGCATGTGGGAGGGAGCAGGGTGAACAGGCAGCCTCAGAGTGACAGACAAGTGACAGAAGAGACTCAGGTTTGGTTTGGGCAGATGCCATAGGTATGGTATATATAGCATATGTGTAGTAAATATATATATAATAGGGTGTTTGTGTGTGTGTAGTAAGTATAGTAAATCCAAACAGGCAAATAGAGCCCAGAGCCTTATGAATTCTGCAGAGGATGGATGGGGACTAAAAGCACAAATGTTCAAGGTGAGTTTGAATCTGGGAAGTCAGCCGAGACAGGAGACAGAAGCGCATGGTGTTGATGAACAGGGAGGTGACTTCCTACAGCAGCAGCAGTTTGCTCTCAGCCTCCATTGTCCCTGGGTATGCAGGCGTCTCAGGTGAGTGGACTGCCAAGGAAAGGTTTGGCCTCAGGTGTTGGCAGTCCCAGTTAGGCAAGCACAGAGAGCCACCTTCTCTACAGGGCTTCAGACGCTTCCTCTCTCTCTCAAATGCAGGGCTCGCAGAAAACAGCCTGGACTCACTGGTGTTTGAGTCCTTGATCCCCAAGCCCATCCTGCAGCGCTACGTCTCCCTGCTGATGGAGCACCGTCGGATCATTCTCTCTGGCCCCAGCGGTACTGGGAAAACCTACCTGGCCAACCGGCTGTCTGAGTATATGGTACTTCGAGAGGGACGGGAGTTGACAGACGGGGTTATCGCCACCTTTAACGTGGACCATAAGTCCAGCAAGGTGAGGAGGTCATTCTGAGTCTGCTGTATTTTTTGGCCCTTTCAAAACTGATGATATCACTACTAGCCTGATGGAAAAGCAGCATTTCCTATCAGCTCTCCTTAGGTGGTTTTAGAAAGCCACCTGAAAGAGGTCCAGAGGGGGCTAACAGAAGGAAGGCTCTATTCTGATCCTCCCAGTAAGAAGTTCCATCTGTGTTTAAGCCGATTGAGCTCATTTATGATGCTCAGTGCTAGTAGTTCTTTAATGTTATCCAAGATACATCTGTTGCAGTTTACCAAGAATTTATCATGTGCATCCTGGGTGTTGCTGTTTTTCCAGTGTATTTTATGGAACAACAATAGTGATAAGACCAGAAACAAAAATAAAAATAATAGAAACCCACATTTATGGACTGCTTGCCCCATGACCAGCAAACACCTTCTCATAGCAACACCTTCAAGAGGGTATTTATCACTATCCCCATTTTGCAGAGAAGGAAACAGAGGCTTGAAGCAGATTGGTCCTGTGCCTAAGACCACTCAGATGGTACTAACTGCTAGAGAACTGAAGCTCAAGTCAGTCTCTAGAGCCCTGTGGCCACAATAGGTTGGCTCCTGCTTCACAGTGAGCAGTGGAAACCTGTTTGCAGTCTGACCTAGTCCCAGCCGAGAGTTGGAAAATGCGATATAAGACCTGTTCATTCATGCATATAGTGCACTGATGGATAATTTACTCTAGCTGGCCCTATTCAAAGGTACCAGAGGATCAAAGGTGGATTGAAAATGACTCCTTTGCCTTAAGGATCACGTAGTGTACTTGAAGATACAGGTTTCTAGACCGCACTTCTTGATGTCTATTTCATTAGGTTGTTTGAGGCTGGGTATCTGCACCATCCACAAGTTCCCCGAGTAACTTGATGTAGGTGCAGGATAAGAGAGAAGTACCCAGAGCCCCTCTGTTGAGAGCCTTTGTGTGAGTTAGGGAACTTCTCCCGGGACCAGTAAGTGAAGGCTCCCCAGGCAGGGAGAATCAGATGCCCAGGGACTAGAGCTCATGGTGAAGAGGGACTAAAAGAACTAGCCACTTTAAAAGGTGGGCTTTTTCTATTGCTAACAAGCCATATTTTGACTTAAAATGGAGGCCCAGCGTGGGCAGGTGCTGGTAGGAGGTGGAGAAGATGTTACCCCCAAGCAAGCAGGCTAGCATCTAAGACAGGCCAGTGTGGTGAAGACACAGACTGGGGCAGGTACCCAAGTCTGATCCATGCCCACTGCTCGCCCACTGTACACTCTCAGGTTAGGCACCTGATCGTAGCATGCCTCAGCTTCTCCATCTATAAAATGGAAACAATCATAGTACTCACCTCCTAGCTTATTGTGGGGCTACAGAAGTTCCTGTGTGTAAGGCTCTTAAAGGCCTGCCTGGCTCTAAGTGATGCCAGCTCTCATGATGATGACAGTAACGGCAGGCAGGCATCCTAGGTTCCCCGCCAGGTCCTTCTTACCTTCCTGTTTCAGCCTTTCTCCCTGATGTGCCATTATTCTTCCTCTTCCATTTCTGACATGCATCCCTTACGCCAGACATGCAGGGCTGTGTTCTAGTCCCTGCTGAGCCAATGCCCCACCCATTCTCCAAGGTAAAATGCAAAGCCTGCCCTTTCAGCAGGACTTCTCCAAGCCCAGTGCATGTAGACTCATCTCCCAGTGCTACTCAGCATGACTTAAGTGTGTGTCTGGCTCCTCTGCTGCTCTGATGTGTAGAGGGCTTCTGTGTATGTAGCTCTCAGGCAGATGCTATGGAGGTACCAAGACGTACAGAGCACCTGCAGTAAGGAGCCTGCTGGGAGGTTGGCATAGTGAGAAATGCCAGGAAAAGTAACAGGATTTCTGGAGAAGGTGGTCAAACAGTAATAAAAACCATGCCTGGGCATGGTAAGAGCACTAGGGTCAAGGTTATCAGTCATCAGACAAGTACTGGGAGGCAGGACTCGCGCCTTACTCATCCCGTGCCCACCCTACCTCCCCTAAGCACCAAGCCAACCCCCTGTAATAGGCAGGCACCCAGAATGTGTTCACAGCACAGCATCATGAAGGGCCTTTCCGCCTCCACTGGCCTAGGTGAGATAAAGACCCTGAGCAGGTGTGTCTTTACTAGGTGTGTTCACCAACTTGTTCTCCTTCGGCCCTCCTGGCCACCGTAGGAATTGCGCCAGTACCTGTCCAACCTTGCTGACCAGTGCAACAGTGAGAACAACGCTGTGGACATGCCCCTCGTCATCATCCTGGATAACCTACATCATGTGAGCTCTCTGGGCGAGATCTTCAATGGGCTGCTCAACTGCAAGTACCACAAATGGTAAAGGCTGGTTCTGGACCTTGTAGCCCCAGGGAGAGAGTGCTGCCACTGATGGGGCCTGTGTGGGAGTGAAGCTGTGTACCTCTGTAGGGTTGGGAGGGGCAGCGGCTAGCCATCCACCAGCCTAGATGCACAGGGCCACTGGCCTCTGTGAGCACCTCGTTCTCTAGCTTGGCTTCGACTCACAGTTTTCTTTTCCTTTATTTTACCCGCAGCCCTTACATAATCGGCACAATGAATCAGGCTACCTCTTCGACTCCCAACCTGCAGCTTCATCATAACTTCAGGTAAGTTTTTCCTTCCCTTGTCCAGTTAAACTATGGAATCATAAAGAAGGAAGGCAAGAAGGGGCGAGTAGAGAAGCCTGTGTTGAGTGTCTGTTGTATGTTAGGTATTGCTAAGCATTTTTTTCAGCTTAATTCATTTAATTTTAACTTCAGCCTCAAGTAATTACATTTACCACTCGCAGTTTACAAATGGGAAAACGGAGGCCTAGAGACTTAAGTGCCTTAGGTGAGGTCACACACTGGTCAGCGGCAGAGTGGAAACTTGCACTCAGGTCTCTGACTGAGTCCTGCTGTCGCAGGGTCAAGGGGGCAGCTCTGGAAGGGACTGCAGGTGCCCCTGCTGCCCTGTTTGTTACCAGTGGTGTCTCTCTGTCCCAAGTGAGCATGAGCAATGACAGCTTTTACCTAAAATGTCCTCATCTAATGGGTTCTATAGCGAATCCCAGCTGCTGTGACTCCCTGCTGGCTCGTCTTCCCTACCCTGCCACAGCACCACGCTGGTCCTCTCTTGTGACCAGGGCATGGGAAGGACTGTTCACCTCTGTTATGCCAGGTTGCATTGTTGCCTGATTGGCATTGCCAAGCACCCCTTGCCCCATATTGAATCTCAATTGACTCCACCTTTCCTGCCTGGGCCCTTAGAGGTGGGTGTGAAGCTGTCTTCTGGGCTGGGGCCTCCGGCTCATTTCCACTGGCATCTCTGAGGGAGATCTAATGAAAGTGTGTCTGAATGTGATTACCAGAGAAATGTTGACTCCTCCAGCACACTGAGAGCATGGCTCACCTCTGCATTTAGGCTGTCCCCCAGTCTTGTTCGTGCTTTCCCCTAATCAACCCCCAAATCCATCGTCCTCCTCTTTCCCCATCACTGCCCCATCATCACCCAGCACACCATTGCCATCACCTTCTAGCCAGTATGTCTGCCTGCGGCTTGCCCCCTGCAGGCAATCCTCCACCCTGTGGCAGCCCGACCAGAGTGAGCATTCTAGAGTGCACATCTGACTGTAGAACTCTTGTGCTTAAAGTTCTTCAGTAGCTCCCTGTGGCCTGCAGGATGAAATCCAGACTCTGTGGGTTGGCAGGTCAAGTCTGAATTTCAGCTGCACTAAACCTCTGGTAGTTTCTCCAAACACCCATGCTGTTTCCCATGCCTTTGCAAATGCTGCAGCATCACCCCACTCCTCACTCCCACACCTGCTCCTGCCTTTCCTTATGTTGCTGCTGATTATCTGTCCAGTCTTAGCCTAGACATCCCCTCCTCTTGGGAGCCTTCCCTGATTCCCTTAGACTTCATCATATTTCATTTCTCTCTTTGCCTGTCTGCCTCTTCCACCAGACTGTGAGCTCCTGGGAACCAGGACTGTGTCTTAGTCATAGCGATAGCTCCGTAGCCTAGCACAGGGCCCGGCACCAAGCACAAAAGGCAGTTTATTTCAGTGGTTAGAGCCTAGCCTCAGGAGCCAGGCTTCTTGGTTCTCATCTTAGTTCTTCCATTAACTAGCTGTTTGATCCTGGACAAGTTACATGACCTGTCTGTTCCTCACCATTTCTGTCTGTAAAACAGGGGTGGTGATAACATCTACGTCAGAGGGTTGCTATGAGGAACTGAGTTAATACATAGTTACAGTGTTTAGAACAGTGTTCGGTGCATAGCGAATCCAGTTTTTGCATTAGCACATACACCTTCTGTTTCTAACATGCTTTGGTTCCTGAGGTCAGCCATCATTTGGATCACTATCATCATCTTGAAAAGTGTTTCTGACTTCCTCCAGATGGGTGCTTTGTGCCAACCACACGGAGCCTGTGAAGGGTTTCCTTGGCCGGTTTCTGAGGAGGAAGCTCATGGAAACAGAGATCAGTGGGCGGGTGCGGAATATGGAGCTGGTAAAAATCATCGACTGGATTCCCAAGGTCTGGCATCACCTCAACCGCTTCCTGGAGGCTCACAGCTCCTCGGATGTCACCATCGGTGGGTGGGAGACTGAGGGGTGGAGGCTGGCATCCTCGGGTGCCCATCCTCTGGGCCCTGGTCAGGACAGCACTCTGCAGGCACAGTCAGCAGAAGCTGGACTGTCCATAAAGATAGAAATGGGGGCAGAGGGACAGTCACAGACCAGGTCGACCCCAGACTGTTAGTGGTCTTGCAGAAGAGAGATGTGACCAGCCTGGCCTGATACAGAAATAGCTGACTCACTAAAGAGCCCCTACCTCAAGGTTCCCCCACGCTGAAGCTACCCTCTTAGGCTTTGGGATTGGCTTTGCTTGAAAAATAAAGTTTTGCCATCATTTCTGAAAGCTAGACATTTAGGACAGAGAAGAAAGATCACTAATCATGTATCTTGACATAATTTTAATTTGAGCTTATTTCTTCTGTCCTTGTTCATACATATGTTTTATGTAGTGGCAATCATAGCATACGTAGAACATGTTCCTTTTGGCTGGGCATGGTGGCTCACGCCTGTAATCTCAGCACTTTAGGAGGCCGAGGCAGGTGGATTACCTGAGGTCAAGAGTTTGAGACCAGCCTGGCCAATATGGTGAAACCCTGTCTCTATTAAAAATACAAATAATTAGCCAAGTGTGGTGGCATATGCCTCTACTGCCCGCTACTCAGGAGACTGAGGCAGGAGAATCCTAGAACCTAGGAGACAGAGGCTACAGTGAGCCAAGATTGCACCACTGTACTCCAGCCTGAGCAATAGAGCAAGACCCCATCTCAAAAAAAAAAAATCCTTTTTCATTTAGTGTTATCTCATAATGCTAAATGTTTTTTGTTTGTTTGTTTTTTGAGACAGGATTTCACTCTTGTTGCCCGGGCCAGGCTGTTCTCAAACTCTTGACCTCAGATGATCCACCTGCCTCAGCCTTTCAAAATGCTGGGATTACAGGCATGAGCCACCACACCTGGCCAATTACTCCATTTTAAAATTTATTTTTAAAGGCTACAAAGTGATCAAATGCAGATGTACCCTCATTTGCTTAATCGTTTCTGTTCTTTTGGACATGTAGTCATTTGCTTCCATTTTCAAAAATCAAGATTATTAATGCCACAGTGCACATCTTCCACATAAAGCCTTTCTTGGAGGAGGGAGACCCCAAGGCGGAATCAGGGATCAGAGCATCCTTCTCTGTGCCCACCATCCAGGGCTGGTAGATCTGCATTCAGGCCTCAGTCCTGCCATCACTCAGAGTGCCCAGGGTCACTCTGTAAGGGGTACTTAGACTATGGCTTCCCCTGATGCTCCATTAACCACGCCTCTTTCAGTGCTAATGTACTTTCGCTGTGGTCTCCAGGCCCCCGGCTCTTCCTGTCATGCCCCATCGATGTGGATGGCTCGAGAGTGTGGTTCACCGACTTGTGGAACTACTCCATCATCCCCTATCTCCTGGAAGCCGTCAGAGAAGGACTCCAGGTGAGAAGACACCACCTGCTGGCCTCCTCGAAGTTGAGGGGGCACTGTTCTGGTGACCAGATGAGTTGTCTTTATCTCTTCCTCTAGGAATCTGACTGACATGGGGTGACAACCCCTCACCTGGGAGATTGTCACTGTAGCGCAGTATAGGGATACCTGGCTGCAAGTCCTGGCTATGCCACTCATTAGTACTGTGACCTCAGGCAAGCTGGTTAGCCTCTCTGTGCCTCAGAGCCCTCATTGATATCCTGCCACAAAGAGTTTTTTGCAAGGATTAAATGAAATTATGGCTATAAAGTGTTCAGCATGGTGAGTGCATGAGAAGTAGAACCATACACATGTGTAGCACTTCACAGTTTGCAAAATACTCTCCTGTCTGCCTTTTGGTTTAAGCCTTGGATTAGTCCTGGAACTTGGACAGAAATTTAGTTTTCTACTCCATTTTTAAGAGAAAAATTGAGGGTCAAAGAGGATAAATGATGTGCTGTAGGTTATAAAAGGGAAACTTGAAAGATTTGGGATTCGAACCCATGCCTTCTGGGTCAAATTCCAAGTTCTTAGCCCTGAGGCTGGTCGCACTCTCTCCCTGACATCAGGACCCCTGCCCTCTTAGGTAACTTTGGGGCCCATAAGGCTGCCATGCTGGTTCTTCCTGCATGGCAGCAGTTGGAAAGCACTAATTCTTTTTTTTTTTTTTTTTTTAGACAGAGTCTTGTTCTGTCACTCAGACTGGAGTGCAGTGGTGTGATCTTGGCTCACTGCAACCTCCACCTCCTGGGTTCAAGCAGTTCTTGTGCCTCAGCCTCCCAAGTAGCTGGAATTACAGTCATACGCTACCACACCTGGCTTTTTTTTTTTTTTTTTTTTAATTTTAGTAGAGATGGGGTTTTACCATGTTGGCCAGGCTGGTCTTGAATTCCTGGCCTCAAGCTATCCACCCACCTCAGCCTCCCAAAGTACTGGGATTATAGGCATGAGCCACTACACCCTGCCCAGAAAGCACAAATTCTTTACTTCTCACTTAACCCGGGGTTTAGAAGCTTGCCATTAATTTAGAACTTGGGATAGTTTTATTGTTGAGCCTGGAGGCAGCCTAAGAAGTTCTGTAGGTTTTTAACACTCACAGTGAATAATTAGCAGACATCATGCATGGCTGAATAACCCAGAAACCAGTTTGGTAGCCAGGTTTCCAAGAGCTTCTTTGTTTCCTTGGTACTGGACAGTGGGAGACGCAAGATGCTATCGTAGGCCTGTGGAGGGTGCAGGGACCCGTGTGCACCCGCAGACACATGTGTAACAATGCAAGTTAATGGATGCAATCAATGTTTGTCGTTTCTGTATATTGGGCTGAACTGGGTAATATTCCACTATTTTCTATAGCAGCAGTGATGGTCTTCAGAGGCATTCAGGACAAAGGGAACTTGAAAAGGAAAATATTTTGCCTCTTGTGACACATTTCATTAAACTGGAACATATGTGTCACAAATTCAAGGCAGCATATTGAAATACAAGTGTATTGTGAAACCAGAAAAGAGCAAGAAATTAGGCAATCTTTGGCCAGCCCAAAATCATTAGTTAGCAGTGCTCTATCAACTGTTGCTTTCATACAAGAAGGTATGAATGATTTTTAGATCTTTGCAGTGGAATCTCCCTAGGTAGGTGAAGTTACTGGCCTGGGCAAATTGACCATAATATAGTCCTTAATCAAATGGGTTTGGTAGTACCACAGACCCAAACAGCCACCCAGTCATTCCTATACTGGGGCCGGTAGAAGCATCTCCTACCTGCTGGATTCTTGCAGTCTCTCTTGTTTCAGAAGCCTCTCTCTGTTCTCATTGGTGGCTTCCAGAGAGTACGATATGCCCAGCACCTCTGGGAAACCCAAGCTCCTTTAGAAGAGCAAAGAGAATTGTAGGCAGAGGAGGTGGACTGTTTCCCCCTATTCCACCTCACCTTCTGCCATTTGCTTTCTAGTTACTCCAAATGTGGTCTTCTGATATAGGAAGGGGAGTGAACCTCAGTCACTGGGAAGAACTCATGGGCTCTGCTGAATAAAGGCCTCCCCTCCCCTGGGAGGCATTAACGGGGAAGCGGGAGCCTGTCTGTGCTCCAGCCTTGAGCTGCGCTTGAGAAAGCCCCTCATTGGTTACCAGTGGTTGGCAGTGCCAGGGCCCTTCTCCTTTGGACCTAAACCTAAAAGAAAGCTTTCTGGGCATGACTGGGAAGGAACTTCCCTTCCCACCTAGGAGAGGTTGCTGATCATAGGGGAGCATTGGATATTTTTCCTAGCATGAGGAAGTGAGGCCCCAGCCGTCTGGGGCAGGGAGTAAAGACACGGTCCAATCTCAGAACTTGCCAGTTCAGTGTGAGGCAGGAAACATCGTCACTGCTTTGTGCTTCGAGGTCATTTGAAGGTCAGACTTTTAAGAGTGCAGAGCAGCAAAGGGAGGCAGCCAGAGTTTGCATCCTACTAAGTGGCTCAAAAGTGAGTCACTGTGCCCCAAACCTGTGACCTCACCATCCTGATGAGCCCTGGAGACAGTATACACTACAGATTTCTGGGGAAGCTTGCTGTGTTCTTCATGCCTCTGGTTTTGGAGGAATGTTTGCTGATGTTTTTTGAAGGCCTGCTACTTGCCAGGCACCTTTAGGGCCCCACATGCATGATTTCATTTAGTTCTGACAGCCCAGTGAGTCTCTCACAGATGAGGAAACTGAGGCTCACAGATGTTCTTGCCCCTTTCCAAGTCCACTCAGCAAGGTATGGTGGAGTGAATGTTGGTACCCAGGATTAGCTGGCCCCTCGGCTACTTCTGTTATTTTCAGACTGTCCTAGGGACCTCCATCACTCTACTGAGAAGCCTCGGGTGGCTTGGGGAACCAAATACAGAATTTTATAGATTGTAGTTCTCTCTATAATTTCATGCGACAAAATGATTCCTTTATTTAAAAAAGAATATTAAAATTCGCTTCTCTTTTTCATGTTACTTTGAGTCCATGCCTACCCTAGGGTCACCTGCTCCTCACCTAACCTGGGTAAGTGGCTGTGAAGTGAGCACATGCAGTTCAGTGTGAGTCATCCTTTGGCCCAGGTTCTAGGCTAAGAGATGAAGTCCCTAGAATGAGTTCTGATGGGACTGCTGTGTACCAGGAGCAGGAAGGAGGGCTGCTTATGGTAGCACAGAATTGACGGGAACATAAGGAGACCTGCTGTCATTGGGATGAGGATGGCTCCCAGGCAGCCCCTCCCACAGGCACACACATGCCAGGAGGGAACATGATGTCGCCCTCTAGTGAACTAAAGGTTGCACTGCGAGTGTGTGTACGTGCAGATGCACACGTGGAACCTCTTGGAGGAGCTTCATCAATGTGTAGCCGATGCATCCTTCTGTGCTGTGCACACGCTCCTGGAGCCCCCTGCATCCCACAGTCAGAAGGCTCACAGTGATCCACGTTGTAGTTTTCAATGTCTCGGCTCCCTGTTGTCCTGTTCCCATTTTTCCTGACCCAGTGGGGATACCAGGTTCTTACCCCTGCCTTGGGGAAAGTGAATGTTCTTCCCTCTGTGTCTGTCTGTCCAGCTGCCTCTGCTGCTGCCCTCAGGGCTTGCAGTGGAGCTGAGGAGCTTTATGATGTTTCCTTTGCTTGCCATGGTACTTACACAGCCACTCATCACCCAGACTTGAACATGTTCAGTGACAATTGAGGAGGCTTGTAAAAATATTTTCTGTTCTTACAGATGATGTTAGCATCTATCTAATATGCATTTGTCTTATGACTCAGTCCTCAGTCCTGCTCCCCTTCAGAGCTGTCATTGGAAACACTTACCAAAGTGTCTGAAGTCTGCAGGGTAACTCAGAAGACCTCTCTCTGTGCCCATGGCAGGCCTGGTGCCTGCAGGGAATGGGGACAGTGGAGGATGAGTGTGGAGTCATTTATCAGATTAGCCAGCCTGCTCTGAGTCTCTGGACAGGCCTCCCATCTCTTGGCCTTGGGTTTCCCATCTATGAATGGACAAGTTTGGACAAGAAGAGTGTTTTTTCAGGCTTGTTTCTATGAAGCCCAAAAGTTCCCCAATCTACTCAGTTGAGGGCAGAAATTAAGAACAAATGTTTGAAAAGCACGGTGCCAGATAATCTCTGAGGATGTGTTCAGCTCCAAGAGTTCTGGCCTCCATGATTCTGCAGCCCTGAGCATTTTCTCATCCAGGCTATGGGCTAGAGACAGAAGCAGTAGCTGTTACAGAAACAGTAGCTGTGAGGGTTTGGTTCAGCCTCATGTGAAGTCTGGCTTGGGAAATGCAGCCCAGTTCCACAGGGAAAGACCTCAGGAGAAACTTCTAAAAACTGCACAAATGTTTCTAATCTGGAGCAGCCTTCTTTTGCTTCAAACATCCCACTTTTGTATTCTCTTCTGCCCTGAAACACATACCCACAAACACGTGCCTCTCCCATAATTCTTTCCTGCTCACACTATAGTTGCCTTTCAAATGCCAGACTGAGTTCCTAGGCCTGAGTCTCACTCCTGCCCCAGGTAAAGGAAAACGTAGCACCAGACTGGGCCAGAGCATGAGACGGGAGGAGTACTGGTGTCTGAGAAGTCAGTGAGTCATAGGAGGCTGCATGTGTTAAGCAGAGGGGGTGATAGCCACAAATGCAGAGAGATGGGCCCGTCTGAGAAGGGGCAGGGTGGGCAGCTTCTCTGACAGAAATCACACCTAGAGGTCCCAGGTAGCACAGACGGTCATGGAAGCATGGGCACCTCTGGAGGGGACAATGAGCCCAGCAGGCTGACACGCTGATATCTGGCCAACAGCCTGCTCCACGTCTGCCTGCTCTGGGTCTGGCTGAGTCATGTGGCTCAAACTGAGAGTTGTTCAAGGTGGTGTCAGTCAGGAGGGGTGGAGAGCAAAAAGACCTGGAAAAGGAAGCTGAGGTTCTAGGTTCACAATAGGCCCTACCTGATAACCTTTCTCAACTGGCTCTGCTCTTTAGGCCTTGATTGCCCCATCTAGTAAATGGGGGGTGGGACTAGGTGGCCTCAGCTCCTTCTCCTCAGAAAGACATGGTTTTGTTGGTTGAGAGCTCAGCTCTGCACTGTTGTCAGCCCCTTGCTCTCTGTACCCTGTATACCTCAGGATTTCTAGGAGGGCAGGGGGAGCAGACAGAAAGACAGCCGTGGCCACCCTAGAGACACACACAGCTGTGGTGTGGCCCACAGGACTGTTTAGTCTCTCTGTCCCAAGGGACCAAGTGGGCCAAACTAGTGGGCCGTAGAATCGGACACACTTAGTTTCCAATTCTGTCTTCTTTCCTCCCTGGACCTGTCTCCTCATCTGTAAAACACGGGTAGTAGTACTTCCTTTTGGAGTTGCATGGTGGTCAAGCAAGATATTTGTGAGCATTTCTCACAGTACCTGGCACGCAGTCAGCTGGAAGATGTGGGGGCGTTAACGGGAAAGACATAAAGCCTATACCTAGCTATGTAATATACAAAGCTTCGCCTTGGGAAGGGAGTCCCGCCTAGGTTCCTGCTCTTTAAAGAATGTATGTATTGGCTGGGCGCGGTGGCTCACACCTGTAATCCCAGCACTTTGGGAGGCTGAGGCAGGCAGATCACAAGGTCAAGAGATCGAAATCATCCTGGCCAACATGGTGAAACCCTGTCTCTACTAAAAATATAAAAATTAGCTGGACATGGTGGCGTGTGCCTGTAGTCCCAGCTACTCGGAGGCTGAGGCAGGAGAATCACTTGAACCCGGGAGGTGGAGGTTGCAGTGCACCAAGATCGCGCCACTGCGCTCCAGCCTGGTGACAGAGCAAAACTCCATCTCAAAAAAAAAGAAAAGAATGTATGTGTTTCTTGAAATTGCTAGTAATGGTAATAAAATCAGTTTACCATTAGATAATTGAGGCTTACGAAAAGGAGCTTGGAGGCATGGTGTTGATTTTAGTATAAAATTAAGTGATAACATAGTTTACTGTTTTAAGAGACAAATAGTGATTATGGAATTTTGAGAAATACATGACAAGGGAGAAGCCCTCATAATTTCACTACCTATGTGCAACTCTGTTAGCAATTTGCTGTTTTGAAAAGAACAGTGCTTCTAGATAGGGACTGTGACAATCAGACCCATTTCAAGAAATGGGGTTTAACTGAGCCAGGACTGGCCCGGCACAAGGCATGAGGATTGTTTGGGCCCAGGAGTTTGAGACCAGCCTGGGCAATGTAGGAAGATCCCATCTCTTAAAATTTTTTTTTAAAAAATTAGCCAAACTGATGGCACACAAGTAGTCTCAGCTACTTGGGAGGCTGAGGGAGGAGGATCACTTGAGCCCAGGAGGTTGAGATCACAGTGAGTGTGATCATGCCAGTATACTCCAGCCTGAGCAACATAGCAAAACCTTGTCTTCATACAAAATAAGAACAAATATTGAGCCAGGGCCATTATGACCTCTGCCTGCAGTGTTGGTGCCCAGCACCCAAGGTATGGAGGAGGTATTCTTTGGGTAGGTACACCCGATGGAGGAATAGAGCTGGCTCTTGAGAGCTGATAGCACCTGTTTCTACGTCCACATCCAGTGACAGCATGTTAGTAGTTTGAAATCAGTCGTGGTGGGTGTATACCATGGAAGTTGGCAAATGCTTCAAATCAGGTCATTGTTTTTTTCCCCCAGAGCCAGTTTTTCAAATTGGATTACAGAGGCTCAGAGTTTAGGGTCACACAGTGAGTCAGTGGCAGAGCTGAGACATAAACCCAGATCAGCCTGACTCCAAAACCTGTGCTCTTGACCACTGGGTCACGCTACCTTCAGCCTTAGCACCTCGAGCTGTCTGCATCTTGGATGACTTCCTGAGGATGGAATTCTAGAAGTGGAATTCCTCCATCGGGGAATGCATAATGCTGGGTTCAGGGAGTTTTTCAGAAAGCTGCAAAACTGGGGCTGCAAGAGAGATCTTGGCCGCTTCCAGACTGTTCTTTTTTTGCCTGTTTTCAGCTCTATGGAAGGCGTGCCCCCTGGGAGGATCCTGCCAAGTGGGTAATGGACACATATCCATGGGCAGCCAGCCCACAACAGCACGAGTGGCCTCCCCTGCTGCAGTTAAGGCCTGAGGATGTCGGCTTCGATGGCTACTCCGTGCCTAGGGAGGGATCGACAAGCAAGCAGGTGCCCCCCAGTGATGCTGAAGGTGACCCGCTGGTGAGTCCTCAGACACCAGAGCAGCTCAGCATTCATTGAGCACTTACTGTGTGTTGGGTAGGGTGCAGAGCCTCTGGAAATACAAAGGTGACTAGACCCTGCCTTGCTTTGGAAGGCTGGACCCAAATGACTGGGCCATCTGGAATATGGCCCCAAGATTAGGGCCATTTTTGCCAATATTTTGTTCCATGGTTTTAGTTTTTCACTAAAGACTTTTCCTCAGAAATGTTTTTCTGATACTAGATAAAAGGTTAAGAATTGATTTTTTCCCCCTTAAATGTTCTTATACCTACTGTCTCTACACAACTCTTTGCCCTCTAATTTGGGATGCCACCTCTATTACCTGCTATCCTATTACTTTGATCCCTCCCACCAATAACATAGCAGAGGAAGAGGTTGCTAAGGACCAGAAACCCAAGTCAAATGATCAGGAGGGTAGGCAGGGAGAGGTTTAAGGGCCAGAGGGACTCAGAGAGGAGGGGGCCTGAGTATGAGTCCCATGGCCATTGAGATGAGCCAAGTCCTTAACACTGTTTAAGGTTCTTATTTATTTGGCTGTTGCTAAAACAATAAAGGTCGTTTAAGAAGCACCTGTGCTGGCTGCGGTGGCTTACGGCTGTAGTCCCAGCACTTTTGGTGGCCGAGGTGGGTGGATCGCTTGAGCTCACAAATTTGAAACCAGCCTGGGCAAAGAAACAAAACCTCTTCTCTACAAAAAAATACGAACATTAACTGGGCATGGTGGCATGTGTCTATAGTCCCAGCTACTCAGGAGGCTGAGGCGGGAGGATGGCTTGAGCCGGGAGGCAGAGTTTACAGTGAGCCAAGATTGTGCCACTGCACTCCAACATGGTTGATAGAACCAGAGCTTGTCTCAAACAAACAAACAAACAAACAAACAAATAAAAGAAATGCCCAGGCCAGTAACAATAGTATTTCTTATTAATTGTAGTGTTCTACCAGTGTAAGACCCATACAGAGTCATACTGCTAAATTAGACCTAACAAATCAAAAGTCCTATCAAATAAAGAGAAAGCAAATATACCCAAACCTCCCATGGTTAAAGGACTATTATCAGGCCTTAAATTTAGCCCCAAGCTTTTTTGGCAGGCACAGCAAACAGAAAACACAATACAGAATATTTTTTGCATTACCTAATGAAAGAAAATATTTATAAAAGATGAGCAGGATTAGAAGACAACTGATTGGCTGTTCTATTCATAGCAGCTAATTAATTCCCTAGATTTAAAAAAATAGGTGATTCAGGTTGCCTGCCATCCTGCTGTTTGGTGGAATGCAGCTGTAGTTCTGTTGAAGATTGTAGCGGGAACTGTATTTTTTGAGGATTTATTATTTGTGTTGTCATGCACAACCTGGTTTGCAATATTTATAACAGTGGTCTTCCAGAGGAAAGAAGTGTTCTTTAAACAGCCATTTGCAACGTTAACCATTGCTGAAAGCCAAGGGCAAACTCATGAGGTCTTACATAGAAAATAGAATTTCGTATATTGAGAGGAAAGAATGGCCAGCCTATCCCTAAACAATCTTTTCTGAGCTGGTAACATTTGTATCACTGGTTGGACACAGAAGATTCGTAGGTAAGACCCAAGATTCTTGGAATTCTGGAAACAGAATTCTACTTCCAACTCCAGACCCCCAGAAGTGAGCAGCTGTGCAGTCCAGCCACTTCTATTACCAAGTTAGATACCTGCTATTTCTCCCCAGTTCTGCTCTTTCTGCCTAGGACCATGTGTCTCTATTATCATAGCTCTCTTATTATGATAAGAGTCATAATAGACAGATTCAAGAATGCTGTCTCTAAACCCTTGTCTTTAAGTCAGATGATGATGACAACAGATGACATTTATTAAGCACTTACTATATGCCAGGCCAGCCCCTCTTGTAAGGGTTTAATACACATTGCATCATTTTATTCCCTACTTCAACCCTATGAGAAGTGTTGCCATTCTCCCCCATTCCACAGATGACAAACAGGAGGCTCAGATACCTTACGTAACTTGCCCAGAGATTCCTGAATCATAAGCCAGGGCTCCCTGCAGTCAGAGGCTCTCCTTATAACTGGTGCTTCCCCTCACCTGCCTGCCATGGCTTCCATAGGAGCTGGAACATAGTTGACTCCAGTCTCACCTGGCCAGAGCCAGGAGAAGAGATGGGTTTGATGCTTGTCGAAGTCGGATGGGGTCTATGTGCTTCAGATATCAGTGATGCTGACGCCCGTGTTCCAGGGGATGCTCAGTCACATCTTCATGCAGGCTGAGGGCTATGCCTGAAAGGTGTGCCCTCCTAAATAAAAAATAAATAGAATTTTTCTAGAGAGCATCATTTTGTTTTCAGTGCTCTACATAGATTAATTCAATCAACACCATAACATCACAGGGCAGGTACTATTATTTTCACATTGGACCAGTAAAGAAACAAGTATAAAGAGGTTAAGCGTCCAAAGTCAGGCAGCTAGTAACTGGTGAAGTGGGGTTTGAACCCTGGAAGCCTGGCCAGAAGTCCATGTTCTTGTCCGTCATCTCCACTGTGAGATACTATCCCAGGTGAGTCTGGAGGAGGTGGCACAACCTTCTAGGAGGCCAGGGTGGGCGGCTAACTAGACAGAAAGCAGCTCATGCTTCTCCACTCTTCCCCTAGATGAACATGCTGATGAGGCTTCAGGAGGCAGCCAACTACTCCAGCCCCCAGAGCTATGACAGCGACTCCAACAGCAACAGCCATCACGATGACATCTTGGACTCCTCTTTGGAGTCCACTCTGTGACAGGGGCCCGGCCATGCAGCCCAGCACCCTCCTCTTCTCCTTGCCCCATTCCACCTGCATCCCCCACATCATCCTGAAGATGACTTCCTGAGCCAGCCCCCAGCCACAGCCTTAGAGCTGCGGAAACACCTAGACCCCTCGTCCTTCAGCCTCGACCTAGGTGCAGGCATCCCAGGTCAGCTGCCCGCGGACCGCTTCCTTTCACAGCGAGAACTGCACTACCTTCTGTTGTACTTTAATTATTGTTTTGCCTTGTTGCTGTGACCTCCCTAAGACACTGAAGATACTTCTCGGGAAAGGATCATCGCTGTTGAAAAAAAGAGAGAAAAAAAAGAATAGAACCCACCTGAAGCTCTGAAACCAAACAGCATCCTGCCTGGAGCTTCCCAGAGACAGAAGAGACTGGAGCAAAGTTGGAAACAGAGAAGCACGGCCTCTCCTCAGCGCAGACCCTCCAGACAGGGTCTCAGAGCCACGCAGCCGGCTGCAGGGAGAACTGGTGCTAACTCGGGTGCTTGCTTTCATCACGTTCAGCGCGCTGCAGAGCTCCAACACAGGGAAACCTTAGGAGAAAACAGACCGCGCTTTCGTGTTTTTTAAATGGTGCTTTCCTTACCCGAGAGGTATTTTGCCTGTTCCAATCCAACCCCCCTGTTCAGGTCCATCAGCCTCCAATTAGTCCGTGAGAGTGAGTGAAGGAGCAAGAATGTGAGCGAGTAGATGTTCGACACAGAACAGCATGTGTCTGTTTCCTTCTGATATATGAATGAATCAGGTTTTTTTTTTTCTGCAAACACTGTGTATAGTGTGACTTGTTCTACTTTGGAGAACTGATTACCTTTTGAAAATGAGGTTGAGCTTCTCCCTTTCTGATGCATTGATTTTTTGAAGATTTTTTTTCTCCTTCCCCTCTTGGTCAGAATCAATCCTTTGGTGAGAGTAAGAACCGCAGGAGCTGAGTTTTGGTTTGGTCCTGCTCAGTTTTGGTTTTTAGTTGTCCATCCTCACAGTCCTACACCCTCACCGCCTCCTGCTAGGGCTGGGGGCATCTGTGCCCTTTAAAATGGATGAGGACCCGGTCCTCGACATGTGGGTGAGCCATGGACCTTGTCTTCCCTTCTCGTCCTTGAGGGTTTAGAACACACACTGACACCTCAAGCGTCCCCACCCCAGCTTCCGGTGGGGTGATGAGGTCACCCCACGAAAGACTTGCACTTTCCTCAGAACCAACACGACGCAGCTCCACAAGGGTGAGGGGTCACCCTCCCAGAAGCCCCGTCTGGACGAGCCTTGCCTGACCTCTTCGGTGCTGACCTTCCCAAAGTGATGCCTTACTGGTTTTGTACTAACTGTGTTCATTTTACATAAGTGTCGTGCCTGCCTGGGGTTTGTTTGTTTGTTTGTTTGTTTTGTCGTTTTCCCCGTTGAAGCAAACAGGGCTAAAAAGTCATCTATTCATTAGGAGAACTCAAGTTGCTGTGACTTTTCTCATCCAAAAGACTCATTTGTGTGGATGCATGACCATGGGAAAAAGAAAAAAAAAGAGATCCATTTGTTTAGGTTCTTATCAGTCTCCAGCTGACAACCTGACTGGACAGTGATCTGTCTCGTGCAGGAGAAGGCAAAGTTTCTACAAGTCTGTGTGACCTTGCTGATACTTGCTCCAATAGAAACCCAGTCTGCTGTGTCTTTGACATACTGGTATTTTCGTTACGAAGTATGGTAAATTTTTGAGTTGTTTGTTTCTGTTTTATAAAGAGAATCTTTATTGGACACCAGTGAGGGTGTCTCTCTTTTAATGATCAGGGTTTTTATTCCATCTTTTGCATTTCTATTTCTGAAGGTTTGTCTCTTGGCATCTTTTCTTAGTTTCTTACCATAAGAGTTCAACCCGAAACTGCTCACTTCACATTGGGTGACACCATGTTCTTCCTCTTTAAAAAGAAAAGGGGAATGTGTCCCACTAACTGATGAAAGGAAAACCTTTCAACACTATCCCTGCTTTAATCTCAGCAAACTCAGGCTATTCTGCTTAGCCTTCATCGGTCATCTGGGTGTGAGTGTGTCTTGTTCTCTTTTTGTTCTTAATAAGACTTTCAAACCATATATTTAGCCTGTGGCCAGGGGGCCAAACCCTAAGACTTTGGGTAACCCTGGAGGGTGGCCCTCCTCAGACCATTTATCTCCCAGCAATGACGCTATCCTCTCGTACTGTGAATTTGGGAGGAGGTCAAGTTGACGTCTCCTCGTGGGCAGTTTTTCAGTCACCTTGTGAGTAGACACCGGCCAATGTTGTTTGAAACCTTTTTAATATGACACCCTCTCTTGTCGTTCATTCTGTCCCCTCTCCCACAGACTTCCCTCCCACTGGGTCCAGGTTCAGATCCAAGACTTCTGTACCTGGTGCTGTCTGATTGGTGAAAATTGACTTCAAGTAGCATAGCCCTTGTGTGATTCACAACTCCGTGTCCTTCCTAAAGTTTCGGGAAGCAGGGTTGTCTAATATGCACATTTCTTATTTTGGTCATATTTTTACTTCAGTGTCACTCACCTTGGACAAAGTGACTTTGACTCATTTAGGGCTCTATCGGAAATGCTTCCATTTTGCCTTTTTCTACAGTTAGGCCAATTTTGAAATGTATAAATTCTATGCAACATTTATGTTGAGTTACCAATGGAAGCCAAACGTTCTCTTCCCAAACTGCCAAGAATGATACAGGCCATAAATGAGATGGGAATACGTTTTAAGATTCGCTGGGGGTGGGGTGGGAGTGGGACAGGAACAAGACTTGCCTAGACCTTTGTTGTATCTTGGGGACTTTTACTTTGTTGTTTGATGCTTATACTTCAAAATTCTCTGTACTCAAATTTGATTGTGGCGGATCTACTTCAAAAAGGAAAGATAATCCAACTTTGTGGATACTGAATGGAAGGTTTGCTGTTTTGATCTAGTTTCCAGTGGAGCAGTTTATGAAATATGTTCTATAAGATGTACATTTTTTCATTGTAACATAGAAATTGTAAATAACTGATTAAAGTGCTGCATTTTGATGAATTTTTTCTAGCCATTTTTAAAGAGAAAACTAGGAATTGAGTATTTTGTGTACGGTATGTTTCCATCCTCCCTACCCTCCTTCCTCCCCTCCTCTCTCTCTCTCTCCCCCTTCCTATTTAATTTTCATTTGTCATGAGGTTTTTGGATTTGCCAATGATCTGCCAGACATCATGTCCCATGTCATAGAGAATAAAGCTGATGATTGTACCAGTCTTAAATTATTCATGATTCAATAAAATTGATGCTTATTTATTCAGATTAGTGGTTTGGCTTGTTTGTGCTAGAGCAAGTCCTCATAGGAGTTTAATTTCATGCTGAGAGCAAGTCAATCTTACCTGGATGCAGCAAACCCAGAGAAAACCCAAAACCTTTGCAAACTCATCTTGGCCAGTATGCCATTCATATCCCAGCTCTTCTCGGTTTCTCAGGTCTTTTTACCACTCCTGTGGAGCTTGTCAGAAATGTAGAATTTCAGATCCCTTCAGACTTGATGAATCTCCAGGGATCTGGTGGCTCCTCAATTTCTCACAAACTCCTAGGCAATGCCAGTGCTCTGGTGCGTGGACCACACACTGAGTGGGAAGCAACATCAGTGTCCAGCCAGCCCCCCAAGTCAACCCCTTGACATGAAAAGGATTTTTAAAAATGTATTGAATGCCTATTAATTTCCAAATGCTTTCCCAAATACTCAATACAATGTAAAATGATGCCAGACAGGTATTCTTAATCCCATTTTACAAGTGAAAAACAGAGAAAATGACTTGCCGAGGAACCTGTAGCCAGGGAGTTGTAGTTTCAGCCCCATCTTCTGACAGTCATGCCTTGCCAGGCTGCCTTCTCATCTTGGGGGCCTCCTGCCAAATTGCAGCTCACATCCATAGCAGACATAGGCAGTGGGAGATGATATTATATCTTTGCATTCACTTTTAATAGCAACAACAAAAAAGGCGTGGCTTGGAGCCCTGTGGGTTCACAGTGAAATTGATCCCACTTGGCTGGTTCAACTGCTCATGACATGAAATGTCTAACTCTTAACATACAACAGTGGCCTAACCAGGGAGGGGGTAAAGAATCCAGATATTTAGCATAGGCAGTTTTAATCCCTGTCAAAACAATGAAGGAGGGGTGGTACAATGGTTTGACAACTACATGTCCTGAATTCCAAGATTTTCCATGTCCAACATTCTATCCCATTGCTCCATGATATATTCTGATGTTCCCTAGGAATTATGATCAGCATACATAAAGGGCATGGTGGAAAGATGGCTTTTTAAAGAGAAGGAAGGACCGGGCATGGTGGCTCACACCTATAATTCCAACACTTTGAGAGGCCAAGACAGGTGGATTGCCTGAACTCAGGAGTTCAAGATCAGCCTGGGCAACATGGCAAAACCCTGTCTCTACTAAAAATACAAAAAGTTAGCTGGGTGTGGTAGCACGTGCCTGTAGTCCCAGCTACTCAGGAGGCCGAGGCATGACAATCGCTTGAACCCAGGAGGTGGAGGTTGCAGTGGGTCAAGATGGTGCCACTGCACTCCAGCCTGGGTGACAGAGTGAGACTCTGTCTCAAAAAAAAAAAAGTCGGGGTGGGGGAAGGACAGGAACTGTGCATTTACATACTAACTTGGTACCAGACTACGGAAAATTATCTCTATCTTACAGGTGAGAAAACAGGCTGAGTAATGTTAAATTACTTAATATGTAGTAGGAATGGAATTCTTGGTATATTGATTCACAAAACCCATTCCCTTTCTGTTACACTGAGCTACAATCAGCTTAGTTTGGACTTTGATGGAGGATTATACATCCCTTCTGCATTAGCTGCTTGTTGCTGTGTAACAGTCCCAAGTTTGACATTTTCCAACAGTTTCTGTGGATCAGGGGTTCAGGCATGTCTTGTTGGGTACTGTGCCTCAGGGTTTCCCAAAGAGCCATAGTCAATGTGTGTTAAAGTTTGCACTGAAAAAATACTTAAAAGCAAGATTATAAGCATCATATTTAATGGTAAGATGTTGAATGGTTTTGCTTGCAGATTAAGAAATAGATAAAGATGTCTCTTACCACCACTGAATATTGTGGTAGAGATCCTAGTCAATACAGAGTAACAAGAAAAACAAATTATGAGGATTGGAAAAGGAAGAAATTCAACAATTTTTATTCATAGATAACACTTTGTACTTAGATTATGCAACAGAATTCACAGATAAGTTACTAGAAATAGTAAGGTTACTGTTTTTAAAGTCAGTACACAAAAATCAGCTGAACATCTATATGCAGCCAGCAGTTTTAAAATTTTAAGAATACCAATTTAAGAGCAAAAATATCAAATATGCTGAATAAATGCAATATAAGGTGTGCAAAACTTCTATACAGAAATCTATTAAACATTGTTGAGAGAAATTAAACCCCAAATAAATGTAGGAAAATATTATGCTTATGAGTTAGAATACACACATCAACCCCTACAAGATGGACTATAGATCTGATGCAATTTCATTTAAAAACCCAACAGGGTTTTTATGGAATTGACAAAATGATTCTAACACTTACATGGAAATGCAACAGGTAAGGCATAGCCAATAAAGACGAACAAGAAGAGAGAAATTTTTCTACCGGAAATCAAGGCTTATTATAAAGGTCATGAAGGCCATGTGGTATTGGTACAAGAATTGACAAATAGTTAAAAAGAACAGGATAGACATCCCTGAAATAAACCCAACACACACTTGCTTTGCTGTATGGAATCATGAAGAATGACTTGGAGGTGAAGAAAGTGTAACAACACATGACAATCGGATTCACTGGTTTTTACTCCAAAGCTGAAGGTTGGACCGTCCTCCGAAAGGTTAGTTTAACTAAGGCACCAGCTCAGGAAAGGCATTTTGTGTTGGAGCACTGTCATTTAGGAAACAGTATAAATGTTCAACCATCAGCCATGATTGGTTGGTTGCTGGTTTTTGTTTTTGAGACTGGGTCTGCTCTGTCACCAGGCTCGAGTGCAGTGGCGCGATTATAGTTCATGGCAGCTTCCACCTCCTGGGCTCAAGCGATCCTCCTGCCCCAGCCTCCTGAGTAGCTGGGACCACAGACACCACCAAACCCAGCTAATTTTTGTTTGTTTTTGAGACCAAGTCTTGCTCTGTCTCCCAGACTGAAGTACAGTTTGCGCCATCTTGGCTCACTGCAACCTCCACCTCCCACGTTCAAGAGATTCTCTTGCCTCAGCCTCCCGAGTAGCTGGGATTACAGGTGCATGCCGCCACACCCGCCTAATTTTTTGTATTTTTAGTAGAGATGGGGTTTCACCATATTGGCCAGTCTGGTCTTGAACGACTGGCCTCAAGTGACCTGCCTGCTTCAGCCTCCCAGATTACTGGGATTACAGGTGTGAGCCACCACACCTGGTCCTAGCTAATTCTTAAAAAATATTTGTTTAGAGACGGGAGTCTCACTATGTTGCCCTAGCTAGTGTCAAACTCCTGGCCTCAAGTGATCCTCCAGCCTCAGCCTCCCAAAATGCTGAGGTTACAGGTATGAGCCACTGTACCTGGCATAATTAGTTGTTGAATGCCCAACAGCTGGAATACATGTGTCTGGGGCATAGCAGATGGGTTGTAGCAGACATCAATAATTCCTGAATTTGTACCCCTTCAGCCTGACTTCACTCAAACTTGCAGTGGACATCTCCTGGTGTGCTTACGGTGTCCCATCTCAAGCACCTGCATCTCTGCTTCTCTACCTGGGACCTTTCTCCAAGTGCCGTAGAAGTGTGTCCAGCCCACAAGGACTAGGGACTTAGTGCCCCGGATTAGCCTATGCCCAGCTTTTCCATCATTCTGTGAGACAAATGGGAGGCATGGGAGACACCTTCCACAAGGTGCCTTAGGGAACCTCCAGTGGGACTGAACCCCATGTCACCCACAGTCATAATGAAGGAAACTTGACTGGAATTTCTCTCTTCCTTGTCACATTTTGCCTGCTCCCTCCCTCAGAGCTGGGACGATGATGAGATGAGTCAGGAACAAGGGCGCAGCCCTGGGAGTGAATCCTCTTTAAATTTTGCACCAACTCACCTCATGTACTTCAGGAGAGCCTAGTCCTGGCCCTACCCTCAGCCACGCTTCCTGCCACCATGGCACAAATGATCTGCACCCAATCCTTTCTCAGGATCTGCTAAGACAACTCAACAATTCCTCTTATTGTTACGGGTTAAATTGTGTCCCCCAAAAAGGTTGAAGTCCTAAACCGCAGTACAGAATGTGGTCTTCTTTAGGGACAGACTGGCTGCAGGTGTAATCAACTAAGATGGGGTCCCACTAGAGTAGAGTAGGCCTACCATCTCAGTTGACTAGTTTTCTCATAAGATAATGTGAAGATCCAAGAGAAGAATGCCATGGGAACATGGAGGCGCAGAAAGGAGCTAGATAGAGGCAAGGATGCTACCCAGAGTCTCAGAGGGAACAGATCCCTGCTGACACCCTGACTTCAGACCTCCGCCATCCAGAACTTCAAGAGAATCAGCTTCCATTGTTTGAAGTCACCTTGATAGTGGTTTTTGGCTATGATAGTCCTAGGAAACTAGCACAGTTATTTATCCAACAGAAAAGCATGCATATATGGGCCAAGAAACAGACACAAATGTTCATAGCAGCACTATTCATAATTACAAACACCAGAAACGACCTGCACGTCCACTGATAGTAGAATGACAAAATTGTGTTCTGTCAACACCGCATCACAGGGAAAATGTGGATGAATGTTGAGTGAACGTTAAGTGAAAACCGCCAGACACGAACAGATGCCAAATGTTTGATTCCACACCTATAACGTTCACAATAGCCTTTTGGAGTGGGTGCAGGCTTAGGTCATAGAAATATAAAGACAAGCGAGAAGGGAGAGGCAGCAGTTGGGAGGGGCGGAAAGGTGCTTTGGGGTGCTGGCACCTGTCCTCCTCTTTGATTTGGATGGTGCTATGGTCTGAGTGTTTGCATCCCTCCAAAATTCAGACAATGAAACCTAATTCCCAATGTGTTAATATTAGGAAGTGGTCCCTTACAGGGTGGTTAGGACATGAGGAATCCACTGTCATGAATGAGATTTTTGCCGGTCAAAAAGAAGCCACAGAGCTAGTGGGTCCCTTCCACTGTGTGAGGACACAGAGAACAGGAGCCACCTATGAACCAGAGAGCAATCCCTCCCCAGACTCCAAGTGTACTGCTGCCTTGATCATGGGCTTCCCACCCTCCAGATCTGTAA